GGGGGGGTGTTATACCCACAGCTCAGGTGATTTTAGACAATATGGTTTTTCCTGGGATCGATCGCCAATTTTTTCAGTTGTCATCTCATGAAAGGGACAAATGCAAGTAAATTATTTGTTCTAATTAATGGATTCTCAAGCTTCATTTTACTTTGATCAGAACTGTTTAACCCGTTTCCTTAAGAATGAGCCATTTTTGCTATCCCCATCCCATTCCTAACCCTGATTCTAGCCCTTTCACACCAACTGTAAACAATGTCATTATTCCTATAACATATATGTTACTCATAACATCATGTTGGTGCTATCACTGTTGTAATTGTCAAGGCATTTTGTCGTCAACTTTATTTCAATTCTACATATTCAGCTGAACACTGGTGCATATCAAACATACTCAAATTAAAGTTAAAAAGTGAAACCTATTTGCATATCCCTTGCATGACAATAACAATGTTACCTCCTTATCAATGTTACTGTAAATATCAACATATTTCTGTGTTATCGTACTTCAAAATATGGCCATCAGACTGGACATGCAGATAACCAGATGATAGCCACTATCTCACCACAGCAACCTGCACTCACTATCCTTTCCACCTCATCTGTTAATATATCAGCCCTGGCTGTGTACACACACTCACAGGCACCCAGACACCACAATGAACAGAACTCTGCCAAGGTTCACTAAACCCTAAATTAAAATCAGCCTGCTATTTGTTTTGCCTAAGTGACACCTTTGTTTTATTCTAAGTCAAAATGCTGTGTTCGTTTACAGTAAAAGTGTGATGCCCTTCAGCAATAATAGAGTACCTAAGTAAGGGCAAATGATTTAATGTGAGTCGTTTTTTAAAGGGTATATTGGAACTAAGTAAAGGGAGATGTGAAAAAAAGTGAAACAGTTTCCAAGTAATGAAAACCCTAAACACCTGCCTGGAATTGCTTTCCTATTTAATTATGTCCCAGTTCATTGAAAACGAAGAAAGCCTATTGATTTGTCTAACGAGCTCTAACTGGATGAATAATTTAGCTAGCAAACAAAAAATTGGGAATAGGATCTAGAAAGGATAGAGTCCTCATATACCACATATGTGTAAACAATGTCCCTAGGATGTTTTCTATAGCAACCTTTTTAATCTGCAAACCTTTGGATATACCATACTGTTTGTGTACATTAGCTGATGTGAACCTACCAACATGAAGTTGTGGTCGCTCCCTTTTTGTTTACTTCGTAAAATATGACTTAATGTCCCTGTTAATCAATATTAGATATACTCTCACCTGAAGCCTTAAAAGATCTTGAGAATTTTTTCTCATGCCCCCCCCCTCCTCCAACTTCTCTCACTCTTCTTTTAATTCAGTATCATACTGCTCATTTTAAAATAGGTCAAAGTCTTCCTGCATAACCATTGCTTTACCAAAATAAAATTTAGGAGATCCAGAAACCACAGTTTTTCAAATAACAATTTATTACGGTTTGGTGGTATAGCAAACATGACTTGCAATGTAATCGTTTCAAGCTTCCAAAAATAAACTATGTAGGGTTAAATCTAAAAGCATGGGATTTGCATTTACAGGATAATTCCAAGAGTAAAGTTCAGAAGACACTAATCCGTGTTTTATCAAATTCTTTTGTTAGATATCACTATACAGGTATGTTCCTCCTATGTCAGACACTATGCAAATAGAAAACACAGGACTTTAAAATGCTTAAATCAGAAAGTTTTTCAAACTCTCACATAAGAGATTCCGAAACAAAGGGATTTCCTTTCAAATCCTTTAATTGATTGACTGAAGTTAAGAAAACAAATCCATATACCTATCACTAGCTTTTCTTTTCCTGTTTTGCATGCGGCAAATCTACCATTGAATTTCTTCATGCTGTAGACTATGCAAACCCTAATCAAACAGCAGCTATTTACTTTCGGAAGTACTCCTGTCAATTGGCCAAATAAATTTAAAGTAACAAAGGAAACAACACAAAACATGTGTCACTCTCTCATAGAAATTTGCCACATTTGCTCCATTTTCATTTTACTTCACTGGTCGAGTGAATGAATTTTCTGCTAAAATAGCGAGATGCTAGGGGCACTCCACTATTGTCTTCTATTGTTACAAAGAGTCACTTTTTCTGTTAAGGCATTTACTGTGGGCCTTTGCTATACAAAACTACTCAATGCAACATCCGTGGGAAAAACTTGCTGCTATGTTCAACTGTATAGAGACTCCTTTACTTTAACATCTGATATCCTACAGTTAAAGCCCTGACCACTTGAAAACTACTATTCAAAGAAACCCATGCATCTGCACATTTTCAAGTGGAAAAAACACATATCTATTCAAATGCATTAAAAAATATGTGCCAGAATCATGAATGTAATTTGTTTGCTGAAATTTGAGGCGAAAGAATAACAAAATGTGTATTTTAGGAGTACAAGTATCTCATTCTCATGAAAATGACCACTTATTTAGCTGCTGAAGTGCCTTTAAACAAGCCGTGTCATTGAAACAGTTATATGGAGGGGAAAATAGTAGGATACTATTTCTCCGTGTTAGACTACCTAGAAACTTGTCTCCCCGTGCAAACATACTTGGTTGACCTTTCTCCATACTTTTTGACCCTGAAGCAATGGAAGTGTGACCTGCCGTCGTGGGAATTTTACGCTCCACCGATCGCGCCTGTAAAGAGCTCATCTTATCAAAATGATAGGGGAAACTTACCGTCCAGGCGAAATCAAAGGGCAGGCGTGACGTTCGCCTAGCGTCAGTGTTGTCAGGGTGGAAAGTAAAAGTATTCCCTCCAAGAACCGCACTTGTAGTATTTCCAAACGTACATCGTCCTTCTGGCGTAATTCTTGCTTGGTATTCCCTAAGACATACACGAAAGTAGGTATCGCACTCCTCCACACACGCGCCGTCCGACCCCCGTCGGCCGTCGCAGCACGAGCCGTTGGCTATCTCCCCTCGTGCATTGGTTATACTTGTAATTTCCAGTTCAAAGTATCCCGATGCGTTACAAACCTTGAGAAGAACAAGACAAAGGCAAAAAGTTAAACACAGCATGCTTTTAACGAAGCAGAACGAGCGTGGGAAACTTTTTTCTTGGGATGATCGCTACTCTACAACGCATTTGGACCACTCATCATTTACCTGAGCTCGAATCGTATACAGCGCTAGGGTCAACAACACCGCATAAACCATGTCCTACACGCTAAAGTCTTCCTTATTTCCTCTCCGAGCGACATAGGCCGAGTACCGGCAATTTTTTCACGTAATTTTCGCATGCAATCCTCTGTTTTTCAGTATGAAATCCGCGCTACTGTTGTACTCCAGCCACACGAACATAGCAATACTACGAGCAGTACTACATAACATCCACTGCGCATGCTCAAATCAATTACAATGATCAAAACGATTTTGCGGCTGCATATCTGCACTAAAGTGGCGTGTGCCAGTGTGTCTGTCGCCAATCGAGTAAATAAACCACAGTAAACTGCAAATCAATAGATTGCCTAATTAAATTACACTAATTAGGAAATATGTTAATAAATTTTGCCAACTGAGTGTGCTGAAGTAGATTTAAGTTAACGGCAGCTGTACCTCCGATTAAATCCCCTTCAATTGATAAACGGTGCTCAGACTTGAAACTAATAAACCCGGGACATGATATAAAAGCGTTCTGAAATGGCATGATTCAATATTTAGGCAATAACCAACGAGCGGCACTCCTGTGATAAACAGATGATACCACGCCGAATGTGCGATGCAATGTTTAGTGATGGTGCGATATCGCCTCGGAGCTTGCTGCCCACGTGGCGCACACGCTTGAGCATACGCCACTTTTGCTACCAGCTTATTGGTCGCCAGCAAGCGCACGCACGGCAGTGACTGACTAAGTGCTGGCAAGTTCGGTGCTGGTGAATGTTTTGTAGCAGTAAAGAATGTTTGTAATATTTTCACTGTAAAAGAACAACAGTTGCTTTAAAAAGAATTAACAGGAGACTTTGTATGTAGGGTGGGTTTTTAATGACATTAAAACAATTTGATTAAAATAATAAGTGTTGAAGAAAGCATTTCACAGGATCAGAAATCTTGCAATATACAAACTGAAAATGTTATTCTTTTCTCTTTTGGGTCAAAAAGCCCTTTGTTTTCTAAAAAATTCTCTAGAACTTGACTTATTTTTAATATGCACTGGAATAAATTAAACTACGACTTTACACTTCCCTTTTGTTTCTCACTTTTCACAGAAAACATGTCAGAATGTCGTGTTAAAATTTACAGTATGCTTTTTTTTGCAATATTTCGAGAAGATTTTTATAATAGACATTCGACAGCGGGAGGATATGGTCTCAACTTTAAACAAGTCGCATATTTTCTGTAGGAGTCAAATGTCATCGGCTCCACCTACTTGTACAGTGTGATTCGTTCTATTGATATTGCGGGCGAGTAAAATTACAAGCTGGTGCGACATTTGAATGTAATTGTTGTATTTTTTAATCTAAGTTCGGTCACACCAACTGTGCACGTTAATTATTGACCTCGCCCAAATGGAGTGTGAAGAGCAAGGGTGGGGTTCCTATATGTGTCGGCAGGGAATAAGGAAAACACCCGACGGACCATGCATATTTATGAGTACATTTTATCAGTATAATTAGCTATCACAAAAATTGACAATATTTCTTAGTCAAAAATATTAAGTAAATTCAGGAAGCAGAAATTTAAATAATAGCCACATGAAACGTTTTTGTAGCTGTAAGATTTTGAATTGGTCAAGAAATACAAAGTTGGTAAAATTAGTGAATTATAAACATTGCCAGATATCACATGCACGGAATCACTAAAGTACATGACTGTACACAAGAGCAGACATATGGCATAAATGTTCGAATTTTTCACTTGATCCGACGCAAAAGGCTTCAATCCAACACCCTAAATTTCACAGGAAATCACCAAAAACCCTTACAGCATCGGATTGCCGTTCCCGGTTTTACCAGGTATAGAAGATTCCCCCTCCGTACTCTGAAACTCAAGGTGTGACTCCCAGAACTGTCTGCATCCCTCCAGGGAAAGACCAGCCGACTAGGAGACAACTTTAAATCATTACCCTTCTAATGAGGTTATTTTCTATCATAAATGATGCCCGGAAAGATGTCCATCACACGCAAGCGACGTCCTCCGAGGTGACACCTTAACAATAAACCAAATTAGAACTTTGGGCACATCAAAGTTGCAGTAATTAAAGACGAGTCTCCTTCAAAATCTGCTAATGTAAGGTTTTCTTTTGTATTTGGTTTAATAAATGTCACCAGGGTGTACTTTCTTTGACAAATACGACTATTAAGCGTTCTAAAACCCATTTTGTCAACGCAAGATTCACACGGATGAACAGTAATGAGTCCATGGGAATATTCTGAAGGAGTGCGCCTTGCAAAGCGGAGAAACGGGCGTCTTCAGGCCCCGGGCTTAAACCAAGGTAATACGACAGAAAGATAATCATCCCAGTTTTAGTTCTGACAATTTAGTGTCAATTAAAGGGCAGTTCAAAGTGTATCATTAGTTTATCATTAATCGGTCTTAAAACCAAAGCCGACCTTTGTATGCGTTTCAACTTAATATAAAGAAGTAGAAGCGTGGAAAATATACATTTGATCATCTATTTTCTGGCTCTTGTTTTCTGTACTGTTAACACTAAAAAAAGCACGACAAATAAAAACCGAGATCATTTATGTAAATGCAAAAGCTTCAACCAAATTTTAATGTTAGGAATATCTTACTCCGCCAAAAACCAATATACCGAAACGAAAGACACAAAGTTTGATGCTTTTTTTTTTCTTTTTTACTCAGAACGTTTTTTTTTTATCATATAATGATAACCATACGTTTGAAATACGGCGTCATTCACACAAGTTTCATTTCGAACTGTAGCATAACTGCATTGTAGATAAGAAGAAATCAATAGTTTGTTTCCTAAATAATGAATACGCAAAATTTTTGTTCACAAACGGTTCATTGTGAGCGTAAAAACAGAAGAAAAAGGTGGGATACCCAGCTCTCTCTATCCCTTTGCTTATCTGTTTACATGTAGTGTTATGACTTGGTTTGTCCCACCCTTCTCAAACATCATTTGTTTCGCATAACCCGCAAGCAAAGCTGGTTGTTTTTTCGTCGTTTTATTTTCCCAGTCTTAATGGAAACCGTGATTGTGTAGCTGCCACTCCTTTTTGAATCGCCACTGATGACTAAACCATTGATCTTTTTCTGTTGCGTATTGAACGCTATAATACTGAAGAGCCCATTACCTGTGTTAAATCTTCCGCACGCTCCTTTGAGATTGGACCCCTAGAACTTATTGCGCTTTACCTGTCATTTAAGCGCAATTAAGAAGAGGTTGCCTGTCTTTTGACATAAAAAATATACATGAGACTGCTCCATTAACATGTTGCATGCAACTTTCTGATTATTTATCAGTACTATAGATCCGTTATCTGCACCTAGCCTGAGGAAGGAAAGGCACTGTTAAATTCCATAATTTGGCATTTAAAAAAAGGATGAATGAAGAATTACACGGAGGGCCACCCGACTGTATTATAGTACCAGCAGTTTGCAAGTAATGGTGCTCTGGGTGTGAATGAATGCAAACAATTTAATGAAATCTTTTGTCAAAAGAAATTTCAATTCCCACTCTAAGAAACAAATCAACTTCAGAGGTAGGAGTTTCAGAGCACCTCTTCCAAAGTAAGGAGCACTGTGTTAAAGAGTTAAATCTTTAGCACGTTTCACACATTATCATAGAAACTCAATTACATAATAAATGTGTTAAGTCATGATAAAAACAAGATTTTCTAACTCCTAAAGATACAAACACTATAAAAGAAGGAAACTGGTAAGACACCAACTACTCTTTTGTCTACAAGATAAATTATCTTATAATTTCTGTATATTTTTGTCATAAAATGTAACCATGCAGATCATTTTCAGAACAAGCAAATTTTCAAGAAGTTCAGTGGTGAATTTGACACTTAGTTCATAGTACACATATGAAATTTTAATGAAAATTTTATCTACCACTCTTATGAACAGCTAGTTAGCCTATTAATTTCTTCCAATGCAATGGGGCAGCATAAAGATCTTTGATGATATTAAAAGGCAAAAAATATTTGTAGACTGACATACCAGCTTAACTCTCAAAAATATTTATCATATCATCAGCATTTTTGTCAAATGCAAATTAAAACTCCAATTCAAATCAATCTGTGATGCCTCATAGCATGCTTTATGTAAACACATTAGAACAAGTCGGATGCATGTAACACTGGCAATGATTCAAGATAAGAGTGGTTTAAAAACAGCATTATAATGCCACCGTTTTAGTACAGTAGCATACACTTCCCCACCAGCATAGTGTGACCTAGTCCCTGACCCATAGCCTCCCCGCCAATATTTCTCACTTCCTTCTCTGCAGTGGTGCAATGTAACAAACGTCCTCTCTATGGACCCTTGCTGATTTTCCCACAGGACACATAACCAACACATCCATCAGTTTGATATATCTGAAAAAATTTAATTTTTTGAATATAGAAAATACTGCGTATAGACAGTTGACTTCTTTGAAGGTATGATTCAAAACATTTACTGTTAAATTGGTCATTTGGCTTTTCTTTCGTCTTTTGTTTGTACATATTTTAAAAATTTATCTCAGATAATAAAAAACTTCCATACGGTAATCATAAAAACAAAATCTCTGCAGAAAAATAGACAACATCAATTTTTCCTAAGGGCTCAGACATGTCACAATAAATGGGTTTTGATGCATATAATCTCAACTCTTTTTTTTTCAGTTGCTAGAGTACTTTGACACAACTTGATCACAGGGTATCACTTCACTAAAGCACCGGTTCCTATTTCAGCCTTCTGTGAAATAAATCAACTCCCATCACCAGCCAAGCCTGAATAATATCTCAACCATGGCATTGCTTTCAAGTTTAATAAGCCACAGAGCCCCATTGTGTTAGATATGTCATATCAGAAAACACATTCTGTCTTCTCCAGGTCACTCAACAAGAGTTCTTCTCTACTTACCCAATGAAACACCATCATTGTGTTAAGCCATTTCCATTTCTAGTCATGGTAATGGCTTACTTTTTTCTTAAGCATTGCTCATGAATTTTGGTCCTTGTTACACATGGAACAGTTCCTGATATGATCTCTACAGCTCTCCTGAACTGATTTATCTTTTGTACTTCATGCTGCCCCAAACAAAAAAGTTGTGAAAACAGATGAGGTGCTACCAATCACATGGAATTTTTTCTTCTTGTGTCAAGGATTCAACCTAGAGCCTAGGGGTAGTGTCTAGAAGCTGAACACCCATGTCATCACATAGTCATTTCTTCACATCCTTATTTGGCAGCATCAGGAATGCCACTTTTCTCAGCAGATATTATTGTTCATTTTGTGGTAGCAGCTGCACCCTGACATGTACCCATTTCTATCTTTTCATGTAAAAAAGTTAAAAGATTTGGCTCCAGTTTTTGTGTAACAGAAAGCTTGTACTCACTAGGTTGCACACCATTGTTTAAATTGTTCACACCATAACACAGTGAAAGCATACTGTGCTAAGTATGACAAAGAGATGATCAGTGCTGCACTCAGACGGCTTGATCTACACAAAACTGAAAATAAAACTCAAAATGATCAGATATAATACATACTGAAACTAGAGAAAAACACAATGTCAGAATACACATTATAAGAATCAAAATCATTATTTATCTTTTAAACGTAGCATTGTTAGACTGGGTTCGCACAGATTTACATCGATCCATCTGGATCAGGGGGTTCACGCTAAATTGCTGTCAGCCGACTGCATGGAAGTTAATTACCCCCTTACAGCTTTTAGTAAGCGGGACAGACATTTAAGCTAGCTCAGCTGACAGCAATCTAGTGAGACTCCCCACGGGGATAGATCAATCTAAAAATCTGTAGGAATGCAGTCTTAGTTAGAGTGATGGACCTCAGTAAGTAGTGAGTATTGAAATAAATTTTTTTTTTGAAATCCGGAGACTGAGGGCTGATGAGAAACAGTTTGATGAAGATCATGATTTTAGAAATCAAAATAATTCATCAATGATATCTTGCAGATCTTATGAGAAATAAGCCAGCAGACCAATATATGTTCGCCTTTGGTTCTTACCTTTACAAGCTTGCACATTGGAAGCAATGAGAAATATCCTAATCACAAGGATATATGTTGGATTATCAGCTTGACCCCAAATTGTTGCAGGAATTACCAGCAGTTTCCCAAAATTGGACAATAAAATCCCTCCCAATATCAGATTTAACCTAAAATTGTAAGTAAAACCTAATACTTCATAAAATGTCTATGTGATGCATCCATTCATCAAAAATCAAAAATAGTCCGAGTGGGTTATGCAGAAGGAAGAAGAGGAGGAAAATATAGAGATATAAAACCTTGTGCATATTTATCAATAATACGAGGTGATAATCAGATATTAACGATATTCATGTGTACTAGTACATCTTGTAATATGTCAAAATGCATTGCAGCAGTTAGTCATACCATGTGTAGGACAACTTACCGTGGTATGCACAGTCTCCTATCTCTCCACAGAGAACTGATGAGGATTTTCAAGCATATATAGACCGTCATGTAGAAGATAAGTTCTTCTGAAAAAAATTATAAATTGGTAACTTCTCTGCATTAATTAGATATTTTCTCTGTTATTTTCAATGTTTCATACCATTTTGATTCCATTTGTGAACAGACAAAAAAAAAGCTTGGCAAGGAATCCAAAAGATAAGTTCATATACATTTTGAGTAAAAAAAGTTTCAGTTCTAAGACACAAATCAATGTGGTCATCTAGTGAAGACCTTGAGAATAAATTCCTTTTAACAGACCTGTAGCCAGGGATACTCACCAAAACATGACATAATCAGAGCTTTATGAAAGTTCAACTCTAACGCAGCATACAGTACTGTATCACTATGCTTGTCTTGCATAGAAACACCATGAATACGCAGGAAAGTCCATTTTGTATATGCATCAGTTAAGAGGAACAAAACAGCAAATTTCCAATGATTCTAGAATAAAGTGAGAAAGTGAGACTACAATGAGCTTTAGAAGGAGCCAGTTTTGTACTACCAAATTCCTTGTATAATATAAATACAATAATTTCTAAAACTCTGACCCTGAAATCTAAATTGTGACAATAAATATACCAATTGATTAAAAAGGTTAAATTAATCCTATGAAAAAATGAAGATCTGTAACAATTCATTTTTTATTATCAATGTAGTGTTCTGCTGCATCATCAATAACTCTGTCATAAGGGAAGTGACAAAGTTATATTTTAATATTAAAATCACACAATCATGCCATATTCTCTATTGGAGAGTGATAACCTGTGATAAGGAAATTTTGTAAATCACATCAATTAATAAAAAGTTGACAATATACATACATATTATTTTCATTTCAAAATATGAAGAAATTAAGAATTAAACATGACTGGTTCAATCGCTTTTTAAAACATGCTACAATTACATTAAAGAACATTAGCATGTATGATACATTGAATATTCCATAATATTCTTGCGGACCAGTGTCTCAGATGATCCACTCACTGACAGTGCTGTCATAAGCTTTTCTCTCACCTTGGAATCTGCATTTAGAAGAACATGTCTATAGGCTTGAGTTTTAAGTAGCAACATATCTAGGAAAACTATGGTCGAGTCATATTCAACATATTTGTCCACCACTTTGGTACAATGATCCTAAAATGAATGGATAAATAGTTCATCTGTGCATGTAGCTCTGCTACTATCTACAGAACATTCTTATACATGGTTTTTGTTTGTACAATCATATTCTTTTCTGAACAAAAATAAATACACATATAAATGTTATTAATAAATAAACAAACAAAGAAAAAAATAAATAAGTGAAAAAATTTAATTGAATTAAAACTGATCAATTTACAGAAAAATAAGAATACAAGAACTTTTTCAAATCTGTTCATGATAAAGGCTCAGGCTGTTCCTTTATGCTCCCGTTACTTACACAGTGAGATATTTTCATTACCCCTCCTTTGAAATCTCTATAGAGCTCCACAGCTGGCATTCCACATTCCACACAGACAAAGCATTGCATCCTCGGGTCTGAAAGCCTGAAAAATGTACATTATATACAGTTCAATCAAAAGAAATTGTAATCTAAAGTAATCTTATTTAATGCTTTCTGTCAGGGTCATCTCTTTAAGTCCCTGCAAAATTGTAACTCCCCCTAACAAAATTATAATACTAGTAATTGCCCACATTATTGATACATCAAAATGATAGCGCACAGGAATCTTGGACTTGTTAATTAGCATACACTCTTGAATAAGGAGAGCACAGGGTAGAATTTTTTGTTCATATAAATATGTACCGCAATAAGAAACAAGAGAGTATCCCCCCTCCCCAAAATTTCGAGACAAATTGATTTTCCATGTTTTTCTAAATTCATTCATGTGGTGACTTTGCCATTAATTTGCCATTCAAAATAATTCATTGAAAATTTTACGTAATGATTTAAGTCTTTCCAAGAAACTTTGAACCTATTCAAATATAATGAGAGCAGAGGTCAATACAGAGTGGTGAACATGTAAAAATGTAAAATGCAAAACTACTAGACCAAGAGTAATTTATTTCAATGGCAGAGGCAGTGATCATGTCAGCACATATAACTGTATTAAAAAACATAGCTTGCAAATCCAAGACCCATGTGTATAAAAGTTGGGGAGCATACTGCATATGGTACAATGTGCATACCCCTGTGGCCCAGCTAAAGCCTGAATAAAGTAGATTTTTAAGTATATTGTCACTTTTCATGCAAATGTACTTATTTACGCTGCCTTACATACATTTTTTTGGTAATAAATAAATCTTCAGTGTTCAATGACTAAATTAATAAACATTTACAGGTACATGCATGTATGCTGATTTAATGACACCTTTCAGTACTCCAAAACCATGCCAGCAATTTTCCTTAAAAGTCTTAGTACAGATTTTATCATTGATAAAGCAGAATAATGACTTTGATTAATGAAAATAAGTAATTAGGGGCTAATAACCATATTAATTATAACAAAAACATTTTAACCAAAATGACGGCACGGGATTGTAGCCTATACACTACTGGTCAACTCTGCCAATTTTCGTGATAAAGTTTTGTTCAGGGATAAAGTTACTCCCCATACCGATTGCCATCTCACCTCAAAATAGGAAGGCCTTAAATTGACGATTAATTGAGTTGCTTATGCATATATATTGCAACAAAAAATATAAACGCCAATATTTTATATTTTCGAAGTTTTTTTCATTGTTTTAAATCAACACAAAGATGGGTGCATACCTAAATAATTAGATGCAGGGAACAATTTATTTTCGGTATCTGGATGACAAGAAAGGATTACAATATCCTTAACGTGGGCATGTCCAGGCCACCAACACACGTATCATTTCAAGGCGTAACTGACACAGTAAACCAGTAAGTAAATCCACCATATCTACCCCTGCTGTCAGACCACAAGCATGCAACAATTATGAATAATGCAATATTAAGTTTTCCATTATATTATCAAAAATTGGAAATTTAAAAGCTAACCCTGCTCTCTCCATGGGCGCTGACATCTTGTAGGTTCCCGGGTGTCTCCTTTTATTTCAGTGTGTGACAAATTGTGATAAACCTCTAATTATTTCATGTACAATAGACAGAAAAGTTGAACACCATGTCCTTTTTTCTTTGTATAAATGCTATATCAAAGCAAATATTTTAATATTAAAATACAAATATTCAAGCTTATCTTGTAAAAGTTCATTTAGAAACGAGGCTACCAGCGGGTGTCATGTGAGTCAACAAATATGTCAAAATAATACGACAACTAGTCGCTATCAACGTGTATTTCTTAAATTGTACCACCATGGCTTCAGTAAGAGTCGCTGTTCGGGTCCGCCCGATGAATAAAAGGTTTGTTTTTAAAGTCCTTTTTTTATGGTAGATATGGCGATCGTTAATAAGTTGTACAGCTAATTTGTAACGTGTTAAAAGTACAGTCAGTAGTAATCTGATCATAAATAGCTCGAGCCTTGCATTGCTGCAGACAACACCTGGATTTGCCCTAGTTTTCAAACCTCATGGGACTCTTCATAGATCTTTGTGTTTTAATAAATTTGGAAACTAATAATGGTTGCATCAGCATTATAGTTTTATTACATCAAGATAACGGTTTTTATTTGACTGTATATCCTTTAGAAAAGCTAACNCCGCATGGAAGTTAATTACCCCCTTACAGCTTTTAGTAAGCGGGACAGACATTTAAGCTAGCTCAGCTGACAGCAATCTAGTGAGACTCCCCACGGGGATAGATCAATCTAAAAATCTGTGGGAATGCAGTCTTAGTTAGAGTGATGGACCTCAGTAAGTAGTGAGTATTGAAATACATTTTTTTTTTGAAATCCGGAGACTGAGGGCTGATGAGAAACAGTTTGATGAAGATCATGATTTTAGAAATCAAAATAATTCATCAATGATATCTTGCAGATCTTATGAGAAATAAGCCAGCAGACCAATATATGTTCGCCTTTGGTTCTTACCTTTACAAGCTTGCACATTGGAAGCAATGAGAAATATCCTAATCACAAGGATATATGTTGGATTATCAGCTTGACCCCAAATTGTTGCAGGAATTACCAGCAGTTTCCCAAAATTGGACAATAAAATCCCTCCCAATATCAGGTTTAACCTAAAATTGTAAGTAAAACCTAACACTTCATAAAATGTCTATGTGATGCATCCATTCATCAAAAATCAAAAATAGTCCGAGTGGGTTATGCAGAAGGAAGAAGAGGAGGAAAATATAGAGATATAAAACCTGATGTATATTTCAATAATACAAGGTGATAATCAGATATTAAAGATATACATGTGTACTAGTACATCTTGTAATATGTCAAAATGCATTGCAGCAGTTGGTGATACCATGTGCAGGACAACTCACCGTGGTATGCATGTTCTCCTATCTCTCCACAGAGAACTAATAAGGATTTTCAAGCATATATAGACCGTCATGTAGAAGATTAGTGCTTCTGAAAAAAAATTGGTAACTTCTCTGCATTAATTAGATATTTTCTGTTATTTTCAATGTTTCATACCATTTTGATTCCATTAGTGAACAGACAAAAAAAAAAGCTTGGCAAGAAATCCGAAAAGATAAGTTCATATAGATTTTGAGTAAAAAAGTTTCAGTTCTAAGACACAAATCAATGTGGTCATCTAGTGAAGACCTTGAAAATAAATTCCTTTTAACAGACCTGTAGCCAGGGATACTCACCAAAACATGACATAATTAGAGCTTTATGAAAGTTCAACTCTAATGCAGCATACAGTACTGTATCGCTATGCTTGTCTTGCATAGAAACACCATGAATACGCAGGAAAGTCCATTTTGTATATGCATCAGTTAAGAGGAACAAAACAGCAAATTTCCAATGATTCTAGAATAAGTGAATAAAGTGAAACTTTAGAAGGAGTCAGTTTTGTACTTCCAAATTTCTTGTATAATGTAAACACAATCATTTCTAAAACTCTGATCCTGAAATCTAAATTGTGACAATCAATATACCAATTGATTAAAAAGGTTAAATTAATCCTACAGAAAAATGAAAGTCTTTAACAATTCATTTCTTACTATCAATGTAGTGTTCTGCTGCATCATCAATAACTCTGTCACAGGGGAAGTGACAAAGTTATATTATAATATTAAAATCACACAATCATGCCATGTTCTTTATTGGAGAGTGATAACCTGTGATAAAGAAATTTTGTACATCACATCAATTAATAAAAAATTGACAACATACATATTATTTTCATTTCAAAATATGAAGAAATTAAGAATTAAACATGACTGGTTCAATTGCTTTTTAAAAAATGCTACAATAATGTTAAAGAACATAAGTATGTATGATACGTTGAATATTCCATAATATTCTTGCAGACCAGTGTCTCAGATGATCCACTCACTGACAGTGCTGTCATAAGCTTTTCTCTCACCTTGGAATCTGCATTTAGAAGAACATGTCTATAGGCTTGAGTTTTAAGGAGCAACATATCTAGGAAAACTATGGTTGAGTCATATTCAACATATTTGTCCACCACTTTGGTACAATGATCCTAAAATGAATGGATAAATAGTTCATCTGTGCATGTAGCTCTGCTACTATCTACAGAACATTTTTATACACGGTTTTTGTTTGTACAATCATATTCTTTTCTGAACAAAAATAAACAGATATATAAATGTTATTAATAAATAAACAAACAAAGAAAAAAATAAATAAGTGAAAAAATTTAATTGAATTAAAACTGATCAATTTATATAAAAATAAGAATACAAGAACTTTTTAAAATCTGTTCATGATAAAGGCTCAGGCTGTTCCATTATGCTCCCGTTACTTACACAGTGAGATATTTTCATTACCCCTCTTTTAAAATCTCTATAAAGCTCCACAGCTGGCATTCCACATTCCACACAGACAAAGCGTTGCATTCTCGGGCCTGAAAGCCTGAAAAATGTACATTATTTACAGTTCAATCAAAAGAAATTGTACTCTGAAATAATCTAATTTAATGCTTTCTGTCAGGGTCATCTCTTTAAGTCCCTGCAAAATTGTTATTCCCCCTAACAAAATTATAATACTAGTAATTGCCCACATTATTGATACATCAAAATGATAGCGCACAGGAACCTTAGACTTGTTAATAAGCATACACTCTTGAATAAGGAGAGCACAGGGTAGAATTTTTTGTTCATATAAATACCCAAATATGTACCGCAATAAGAAACAAGAGAGTATCCCCCCTTCCCAAAATTTCGAGACAAATTGATTTTCCATGTTTTTCTAAATTCATTAATGTGGTGACTTTGCCATTAATTTGCCATTCAAAATAATTCATTGAAAATTTTACGTAATGATTTAAGTCTTTCCAAGAACCTTTGAACCTATTCAAATATAATGAGAGCAGAGGTCAATACAGAGTGGTGAACATGTAAAAATGTAAAATGCAAAACTACTAGACCAAGAGTAATTTATTTCAATGGCAGAGGCAGTGATCAAGTCAGCGCATATAACTGAATTAAAAAACATAGCTTGCAAATCCAAGACCCATGTGTATAAAAGTTGGGGAGCATACTGCATATGGTACCATGTGCATACCCCTGTGGCCCAGCTAAAGCCTGAATAAAGTAGATTTTTAAGTATATTGTCACTTTTCATGCAAATGTACTTATTTACGCTGCCTTACATACATTTTTTTGGTAATAAATAAATCTTCAGTGTTCAATGACTAAATTAATAAACTATTACAGGTACATGCATGTATGCTGATTTAATGACACCTTTCAGTACTCCAAAACCATGCCAGCAATTTTCCTTATAAGTCTTAGTACAGATTTTATCATTGATAAAGCAGAATAATGACTTTGATTAATGAAAATAGGTAATTAGGGGCTAATAACCATATTAGTTATAACAAACATTTTAACCAAAATGACGGCAATGGATTGTAGCCTATACACTACTGGTCAACTCTGCCAATTTTCGTGATAAAGTTTTGTTCAGGGATAAAGTTACTCCCCATACCGATTGCCATCTCACCTCAAAATAGAAAGGCCTTAAACTGACGATTAATTGAGTTGGCTATGCATATACATTGCAACGAAAAAATATAAACGCCAATATTTTATATTTTCGAGGTTTTTTTCATTGTTTTAAATCAACAAAAAGATGGGTGCATTACTAAATAATTAGATGCAGGGAAAAATTTATTTTCGGTATCTGGATGACAAGAAAGGGTTACAATATCCTTAACGCATGTCCAGGCCACCAACACACGTATCATTTCAAGGCGTAATTGACACAGTAAACCAGTAAGTAAATCCCCCATATCTACCCCTGCTGTCAGACCACAAGCATGCAACAATAATTAATAATGCAATATTAAGTTTTCCATTATATTATCAAAAATTGGAAATTTAAAAGCTGACCCTGCTCTCTCCACGGGCGCTGACATCTTGTAGGTTCCCGGGTGTCTCCTTTTATTTCAGTGTGTGACAAATTGTGATAAGCCTCTAATTATTTCATGTACAATAGACAGAAAAGATGAACACCATGTCCTTTTTTCTTTGTATAAATGCTATATCAAAGCAAATATTTTAATATTAAAATACAAATATTCAAGCTTATCTTGTAAAAGTTCGTTTAGAAACGAGGCTACCAGCGGGTGTCATGTGAGTCAACAAAGATGTCAAAATAATACGACAACTAGTCGCTATCAACGTGTATTTCTTAAATTGTACCACCATGGCTTCAGTAAGAGTCGCTGTTCGGGTCCGCCCGATGAATAAAAGGTTTGTTTTAAAAGTCCCTTTTTATGGTAGATATGGCGATCGTTAGTACAGCTAATTTGTAACGTGTTAAAAGTACAGTCAGTAGTAATCTGATCATATATAGCTCGAGCCTTGCATTGCTGCAGACAACACCTGGATTTGCCCTAGTTTTCAAACCTCATGGGACTCTTCATAGATCTTTGTGTTTTAATAATTTTGGAAACTAATAATGGTTGCATCAGCATTATAGTTTTATTACATCAAGATAACTGTTTTTATTTGACTGTATATCCTTTAGAAAAGCAAATGTTTTTGTTTATGATAAATTATAAGAACTGGTGACGAATGGGCGTTTAGATTGATAAGCAGTATTATTTTTCTCCGAACGTAACACTTAGAGGTTAAATCACAACCAGGTAAGTTTTTTATGTCTGGAATAGTCGGAGGCATTTATAATCACAAGGTGTTAATATGTTATCTCATTGATGATTGGACTAGAATTTTTTGAAATTCTGTCTAGGAATAACAAATAATTATTAATTAATGAATAATTAACTAAGCATCATGTAACTAAGCATCATGTAACAAAGATATTTATATTTATAGGTATTCCTATTTTGAAACTGTAGTAAGTTTTTAGTATGGTATAAGTCATAAAGATTTAAATATTTAGCAACCAGTTGAACCTTTTTGATCATGTACAAATTGCAAGGTTGTTATTGTATAGCCCAGTGCATGAAATACATATTTGTGATTAAGTAAATATTGTATTCTGGCTTAAACAAGCATTATTCCACGATTTTCATTTGTGAAGTTTGACTACTAGCTGCAATAAAGGATTTATAATCAAAGCTGGTTCAGTTCTAAATATTTGTAAATAAAAAGATCTGTCATCCAGCTATGGAAAGGTACAAAGAGAAGCTAATTTAAATTATTTTTTGATTGATAGAATATACTTGTATAATTTTCATCAGTTGCTTACATCTTTTTAGTAGTATAAAGGAATATTGTTATTTTTTGTGTACCTTTGATTGATTTCATTGATATTCAGATAGTACATTTTCATTTTTAGGGAAATAGATTTGGAGTCTGAATTTATCATAAAAATGGAAGGAAAGAAAACAATCATCAGCAACCCAAAGGTAATTAACAGCAGCAGTACACCTTTTTTTGCACTAGTTATCATTTTTCAGTTAGAGTTTTTTGCTGCTGTATGCAGTGATCAATAAAATATGTCACATCACATAACATCCTCTCACAACATTTAAATCCATCATTATACGCTTTTATATCAGTGTATGGAGCCAATGTATAAGTTAAGCAAAATCTTAATGTTTCATATCCACATAAATTTGAAATTTGTGTGTGTGCCTACATTTAATATTGTTTGCTAGCATACATGTGTGATACACAGATGCACACTATGCTGAATTATACTTACAAATTAAATTAAGTTAACCCTGGTTCTTCATTCCAGATTCCAGAGTTAAATGATAGAGGAGAGGGTGATCACAGCAGAGAGAGGGCGAAGGCATTCAGTTATGACTACTCCTATTGGTCTGTTGATAAAAAGGACAAACACTATGTATCACAGGAGCAGGTATGGATATAAATATACTGAGAGTCAACGAAAATGCATCATTTATTTATCAAGTAATATTTTAAGTTCCTTTGACACATTAAGAAAATAACAGTTTTCATGTGAAATATGTCAAATATGAAACAGTGGTCAGCCCACTCTCTTATGACCATAGAAGTGCATTTATACTCGTTTTTATGGTTGGAATCGATTCTCGGTAAAAAAGTACAAGAAAGTTTTCTGATGCGTTTTCATTGACTGTCAGTATATGTGGCATATTTGATGAGACATTTTTTGTGATCTTCTGATATAAAGCTTGTGTTCAGTTATGCCTATGTGCAAGTTGGATTTTAGTCATTTCCTAGTCATGAACACGTACATGGGGCTAGGAATGTTCCATTACAGCATGATGAATTGATTGCTTAAATATTTCTTGTGGACACAGAATGCTACAATGTAGTCAATCTCCTTACATTGCATCTGTAGCATGGACCAGAGTAAATCATTGTGGCAGCCAGAATACATAATCAGAACATTTGTATTATATTGCAAAAAAGATTAAATAAAAAAAAACAGTTTCAGTTTTATTTAAAAATTATTTATCAACTTGTGCAAAGTTCAGAAATGATGACAAAAAAAAAAGACTGGGGATTAAAGAAAATCTGCTATTATGATCCCAGGGTCCAAGTAATATATTTCTAACTCTAACATGAATAATTTTTTTAACCTGGATGGATGGATGACCAAGGTACACATATAAATGATAAGTTGATAAGTTGAAGGAAGTGATTGCATGTTGCCTAGGTTGTTGAAGTGCAGTACTAGGTTTATACACATATTGAATATTGGAGGAAGGTACAGCAGTATTATTACATATGTGATATCAGGTGGTTGTCTGTAAATGATAATGATACCTGCATGTTTGTGAGAATGAGGCAATTCTTCAGTCAGGTACCTGTATTGTCTGTACAATACTGCATACATATAGAATTGATAAGTGTCTTCAAGTATCCTAAGAGGCTATTATGAACAGAAATGTGAACAATCCACCTATTGTCTGTGAGTGTCTATATGAATGTGTATGTATATGTGTATGCTTGATTGCATGCATGCATGTGTGTAAATAGTGCATAGTGTCAACCTTGTGATTTGATTATCCAACATAATTTGAACATTAACAAAAGTTGTGTCATTCAAAATTCTATTTATGTATATGTATCTTGATTTCAGGTAATGAAAGATTTGGGCAATGATGTGATCAGTTCAGCTTTTGAAGGGTACAATGCCTGTATCTTTGCTTATGGGCAAACAGGATCTGGCAAAAGCTACACTATGATGGGAAACCATGTAAGTGATTATCGTGGTGTTAATCAAGTAGTTAGACTGTATGCATTCTTAGACATCTGTATAATGTTATTCGTATGATCAATAATTAATTGGATGACTAATCAGGAGCCACTAAATAGGTTTGTGTGTTTTTTTTCTGTTTGTTTTTATTGTCTGACAGATTTAACACACATACACACCATGATGGTGCGCACGCGCGTGCACACACACACACACACACACACACACACACACACACACACATGCATTAAATTATTAATATATGGTAAATTTATGAATGCATTCAGATTTATCTGTGCTCATATATTTTTATTCTGATTACAGGATGATGTTGGCCTAACTCCTAGAATTTGTGAGGTGAGTGCTTAAAGGTAGCAATAAANTCAGTTATATTCCAAATTTGAGTTGAAAATTCTCTCTCTCTCTCTCTCTCTCTCTCTCTCTCTCTCTCTCTCTCTCTCACATTAATGATTTTAAACAAAAATCGTCATTATTTTGAATATAATATGCTGTATACATTAACAGGAGGGGAGGACATCAATAGGAAGAGCTGATGCAGAAGTACAGCCAGACATAGGTAAGGATACAGAAATATGGAATTAATATCTGCACATTGACAATACTTCTTAAGGTAGTGGAATTTAAATGTAGATGCTTAGAGGTTTATTGTGCTCCTTTTCTGTGATAGTATATAAAGTAATGATATCTTTAAGAGCAAAAACAATCTACATTGGATGATACAATGCACATACTTCAGTTACTTATATTATAAGATGTTAAATAATATTTATGACAGAAGTAGCAGATTTTAAACTAAAAAAAATCTATTATGAAGTGACTTTCCAGTTAAGTTTTATTTTTAGTTGTCATACTTTACAATTAAGTTTTCATTTTTCTTAGCGCTCTCTGGTCTGGAGGTGGAAAAGGAACACTGTTATATTGATAATGTGGATGGCATTGTCACTTTAAGTCCCATTGCTGATGCTATATGCACAGTGAATGGTGTCAGTATAGAGGAACCAACTAAACTATACCAAGGTGAGTGTACTTTATCTTATTTTATAGATTTGATTTTCACTTACTGTTGCTGCTGAAGATCTATTTTGTTGTTAATTTTGCTGAACAATGCAAGAATCGCTCTTCAATGCTAATAGTTGTGGTTTCATTTGGAGTTGTGTTGGAGGAGGCAAGATGCCCCATTTTCCTATCATTAGCATTTCCCCAAAAAAATATTTTTATGTATACAGACATTATGGGCTAAGCAAGGTGAAAGTGATGTTTTAAGTGGTTAAACAATCTTAGCTAAAATAATATTGATTGTCCATCTTTTTTAGAGAAAAATGTTGATGAGCTGTTTTATACTTGATATGTCACCTCTTCCTTCAATTACATGGTAGACAATAGATTTGATTCTGTCAAGGGATTAATTCCATATTGATATTTTCCAGGTGCTGTCATTCTGTTGGGTAAGACAAACATGTTTCGTTTCAACCACCCAAAGGAAGCTGCCAGACTTAGACAAGAGCGGAAATTACTCAGTCCAGACTTGGTATGTTGCTCTTGTCCATAAGTCTTGCAAAAATTGAGCATTTCATAGGTTTGCTAAATGTTTGACAGTGTTTCTGTATTAGCTGCACACATATTTGTTTCAAACTTTTTCCCCCGATTTAGTCAAATGATTATGCATGTTTATCTTATATTTTATTCATAGTATTCTTTACCTCATTTTACATTAACTTTATTTTGTTTTTAGAAGGGTGGTTTAGGCAAGCAGTGGTCTTCAAGGGTATCCCTCCTTAGTGCATCCATGACTGACCTGTCAAGGGCAAGGTCAACTGACAACCTGTCAATGTTTTCAGGCTTAGGGTTAGTTATTAACCAGTTGTACATTATACCAACCACAATGGATGGCTATACTACTGTGGATGCCAAGAACAAAAGATCCAGATATGTTGTATCTTGCATACAGTCATGCACATCACACATGATTGTGAGATCCACCACATTTGGGTCTTTACCTTTCTACATCAGTTATAATATAAGTAAGATACACTTCTCATGTTTTGCACTTGTGTATGTTGCATACACTTCACTGACTTGTGGTGTATCTTTTACTTAACATGCCAGTCTACAAGATGAAGCTACTGTTTTTGTGTGTCAAACTGTTGGAAAGTTAGCTTATTTTTTAAAATAAAATTGAAGAGGGAAAAATTATGCAATGATGCATTATAGAATTTTGATCTAGTACATTATTTAGAATATTCTACTTTGTGCATTTGTTGAGAGGAAAGAAGTGCAAGAGGTTTTCAAGGCACATCTCATGGAGATGTTCTTTGTGCTTTTTTACAGGAATGATTTGGAGCAGAGGCACAAAAATGAGCTGGTTAACTTGGAGGCCAAGCGACAAGAAATAGAGGATTTAGAAGAGAAATTTCGCCAGCATGAGGATGCAAGACAAGCTGAACAAGAGAGCAAGGAGAATGAGCTGGAAAAGGCAAAGTCAGAGTTAGAGGGCATGAAGCAGCATTTGAAACAGTGGAAGGAAGATGAGATGAAAGGAGAGTGGCAGAAATTGGAAGAGGAAAGGGAATACTTGCATAGAAAAATGGACGAAGAGAGAAAAAAATTAGAAGAGATGGAGAGGAATTATCATAAATCTGTGATGGAGGCAGAACAGGAGCTTATTGAGGTATTTGTATTATTTCAACTGAGAAACATTCTTAGACTTGGAGAAAAAAATTGGTTGCCAGGCCATTTCTTTGTGTATATACAACAAAAGTGTGTCAGATAATATCATCTGCCTGTCCTTATTTTTCATACTTTTTCATGTATTTGTATCAGTGCATGCACGTTTGAGGGTGGATTAGATTATTCAAAATAAGTATATTTTGTAATGATATATTTCTCATGTTGGGGATAAACTTGGAAGGTTGATATAACAAGTCTTGCACTTTATTTGTTAAACTTCTGAGAGGCACTCTATTGAAAGAATCCTTGCATTTGTTGTGTGATAATTGTATTTGGTTATTTGTTACATGTCTGTTCTTATACCTTTTGGTTATCAAATTTGTGAAATATGTTTTGAAACCAGTATAAACAATGTCTTTTTAGGCACTGGAAACATTTGAGAAAGAAAAACAGCTTCAGCAAGAAACATTGGAAGAAGAATGGAAACGAATTGAAGACAAAGACAGAGAGCAGCAAGAAAAAGTGCGATATTTAGAAGAAGAAATTGCCAGAAAGAGGGAACTTGTACAGAGAGAAAAGGCAGAGGTGAAATGTCAGGAGACGGTAGGGAATACCTGTGATATCACCCCTCAAAAGTAAAACAAAGGCAGTTTTCGTAGTTTTTTTAATGACATCATAGTTAAGACATTTTTGGTGATGGTGACTTTCTCTAAAGTCCAGGGCTGCTTCAGTAAAGATATAGCACCAGAAATATGATTTTAAGCTGTACCATATGTATATATCTCTCTGTCATATATATATATATATTTGTAAATGCCTTTGCAGTTAAGAACCAAACTAAAATGGTGGTTGTATGGTATTCCCTTCTTGTCTGTGCTTTCTTTTAAGTGCTAAAGATATGATTGAAAAAGTTGCTTTGCATGTACAAAGTTTTGGAGGTGTTTAATGCAACAAAGGTCTACAGGATGCTGCCAGTTAGGATTTTCTTCCAAAATATCTTTCTTTGCATGAATAGTGTATAGAGGTAAAACAGGTTATTAACTTGTGTTTCAGTTTGATAGATGTATTAACAGAATACTAATAAGAATCATATAAGTTTGCTACCAAAGATAAAAGTTTTAATCAAAATGTTACATATCCATAATTTACTTTTTATCGAGTGTTTTGGGCGCAAATGATATTAAATAGTATTTGGTTGTATTTGGAAAATCAATAATGTGTTTGTACATAGTGTGTTAAAAGTGCATAGTTTTTAAGACTGAAGGTCTCAGTTCCTGCATTTTGTCTGGTATGTGTAAATGTTTATGAGTTTATTTTTTCAAATCGATAAAAGGAATACAAGCGTGGTCAGCAGGTGATTCCAAACTAAGCACTTCACTTGATAGATAAAATGTTTTCATTTTTAGGAACTCAATTTGATGGAAGAGGAAAGACATCGTCTGCTCAGCCAAGAGGAAGGTGGTTCCTTCAATTCTGAAACAGTGGAAACATGGTCTGATGAATATGCAGCTATTCAGCATGCACTATCAGACCTTGACACAAGAGAAGAAACACTAGAAAATGACTATGAGGAAGCTAAGGCAGAACTCCAATATGAGCACAACAAATTAGAATCAGAATTGAAACTAGAAAGGGATGATTTAAGAAAAAGTCAAAGAGCGCTTGATGAAATGGAAGCAAAATATAAAGCTGCTTCAGAAGCAGCAAATGTTGACAGTGAAGAAGAGAGGCAAGAGGTAGAGCAGCAATTCATTACTTTACAAACAATGAAGAAAAATCACAGAGAAAAAGAAAACTGCCTTGAAGAAAAAGAAAAGGAGTACAACCAAAAGAAAATATCTGAGATGCAGCAGTTACAGGAGTACAAAGACCAGGAGACGAAAAAAATAACAGAGGACAGGACAGGCCTTAGAGATAGAGGAAATAATATTTTACAATTAGTGGAGCAGGAATTAACATCAAAAAGTAAACTCTTACAGGAACACAAATTGAAAGTTCTCCAAGAAGAACACATTTTATCTGAATTGGAGAAAAAACATGAAGGTCTTGTGAAGGTTTCTTTTGAACAAACGGGGTGTATTGATCAAGAGAAACAAAAATTGCTCAATGCACAGAAAGAGGAAGAAAGGCATGCAGAGGCTCAGGTTGATGAAAAGAGGGAGTCTGTGGAGTCCAGGAAAAGCCAAGGGCATGAAGTCCTGGAGGGACAGAGAAGCAGGTGAGGCAGAAGTAATACCAAATGTAATTTGCTCTATAAGGGTTATTTTGAATATCTACAAACCTTTATGAATTGTCACAGTTATAAAATTATGCATGTGCATGAATTTGTTCAAGAAAAAGTATTTAGTCAATAGTTTCAGAGTTATAATTTAACAGCTTCCAGCATAGAATCAGTTTGAGAATGAAATTATGCATGTGTATGAATTTGTTAAAGAAAACATAAGTATTTAGTCAATAGTTTCAGAGAGTAATAATTTAACAGCTTCCAGCTTAGAATCAGTTTGAGAATGAAATTATGCATGTGCATGAATTAGTTAAAGAAAGCATATTAAGTATTTAGTCAATAGTTTAATAAGAAAAGTTTGACACATATATATTGGTTGTAGTAAAACAGTAGATATTCATGAATAGAGATCTTGTCATCAATATTTTGTCATAGAATGCTTGACCTAGAAGTGCAGGAAGAAGAGCTGTCGAAAAGAAAAGAAAAGTTTGAGAAATATTCAAGAAACATTGAAGGTAATTTTCACAACATAACATATCAAGTGAATTTGTCACCTCCATTGATATGTTACGTATGTTTGAAGATATCTTTATCTTGAACAAAACAATCCTGATTAAAGTATTTTGTTAACTGATGAATCAGGCAGCAAGTCTTCAACTGTTACACTTGATATACATGTTAATTGCAAATCATGTCAACACAGTAGAAGTTACATATGTAGGTCATATGTTATCAGCTTCCAAGTTCCATACAATGGACCCAGCTGATTAGATGAAATGTTATTGCAAAAAAATTTTAGGTGCTCTTTTTGAGAAAAAATACCAAGTTTTTGAATTGGAAGCAGAAGTATTTAACGCTAGAGAGCGCGAGAACCAGGCCCATAAAGAACAAGTTGAAATGCTGCAGGAAGACTCAAACACATGGGAACAAAAAGTTGAGGTGAGATGATAACACAATTTGCTCATCCTGCCATGATTTTGATATAAACCAAGTAGCTTATTAGTTTTTAAAGGGGAAGTGATGGTAAATTGGCCCAATGATTATGTTTAAAATTTGCCAACATTAATTATTTTAGCTACTGTCAAAATTTTTTCATGTGCTTTTTATCTCCTATAAAAGAAACTGAGAGAGAAGGAAATAAGACTTAAAAAAGAAGAAGCAGACCTGGAAGAAAAACGCAAAAAATTTGAAGAAGAGAGACAGCATGAGCTTGACAGGATAGATGATGAAAAATTCAAGCTTCAGGAAATGGAAGAACAGGAAAGGCAAGTTCAATTTTCATTTGTATCATATTTTAGGGACAAAAAAGTACCATGTGTAGAACTTTTGTTTGTGTTATTATATTCAGACATGATTTTTTTTCTTTGTGGTTTTCTGTTTAAGTGGTCCCCAGACTCCAGTCTCAAGGCCACTGAACCATTTCTTCCTACTTTTTTCTTGCAACTCAGAATCATGCCTGTGCATTTGCTGTTGCATTTGAATTGAGTTGAATATGCCTTTATACTCTTTGGGTGATTAGGTGTTGTCAGAAAGTACACATTTCAGATATATAGCTTAAAAAATAATGAAGTAAGAAGTTTTTTTTAATATGAGTTTAATTTTCATTTTTTTAAAATTTGCACTCGGTTTTCTTAAAGCCAGGAAAATATTTTGATGACAAAAGTAAATAAAAGGTTGTAGAGAATTGGAATTCTAGTAACTTTTTCAAAGACTTTTAATGCAGTTTATCATTGCTTGAATGGCTTCATCTATATCACATCATGCAACAGTGCCATCATAAAGCAAACTGTTGAATGAAGCCAGGGCAATAAAAAGGAGCTTCTCATTAAAATTAGGGCTTGCTTATCTACTAGCAATCATTTTAGCTCATTCAGTCTAATGGTAATTTCTAATTAATGCAGCATGATACTGTTACTTTTTCTCGCTTGAGTGTATAAATTGGTAACAAAAATTTTAAGGCAAATGTGTTATATGGAAGAAGCTGGTGGTTGTCATGCTATTGCTTGGTTAATGTTAGAAGGGAGCTGTTACAAAGGATTGTGGTTTTTATTCCAGGGCCAGAAATGGGCATTTTGGTTTGGAAAGGTGTCTTAAATGGAAGAAATCAAGCCAGAATCTTATTCCATTATATCCATTCCTTTCTTCATAGTCAAGTGATAAGGAATACTTATCTTATTTCATATGATTTTATCCAGGCTGAATTCTTTGGTGGAACAAGAAGTAAAGAGGAGACTATTTGAAGAGAAAGTGAAGAGAGAAAAACAAAGGATGACTGAAAAAGAAAAAGAAAAGCAAGCAAGGGACAAAGAAATCCAAAGGATTAAGAAGCAGCATGACAAAGAAATAGAGAAATTAAAGATGCAGTATGAAAATAGGTTTGTGTGCTATGATCTGATCTGTACCTTTGACAGAATGGCATTGCTTTTACTGAATACATATTTTTTTATAATTTAAGTGGTAAAGTTCATGTCTTGTGCACTCAGAAGTGTACTGGTCATATTATCTTGGCTGATATCTTATCAGTATACATGATACTTCATTGTATCTTACCTATAAGTTTTTCTTTTGTCATCACTATTTTAATTAACCAAGAAATATATTAACTGTGGTTGCCTTACAGAAATTGATGATAATTTTTCAAAGTATTTTATTATTCATCTTTTAAATTTTTCTTTCGTTTATTGGTCATGATAATTTGAATGAACATCACATTCTATAAATACAGGTGCCCTAATGCAGGCTCATCCAGGGCAAACCCGTATGGATCACCAATGGTGAGCAATGTACTAGATACCCGTCTTGTTTTGGGATTGGCCTGCTCATAGATTCAGCTGTTCTTCTCAGAACATTACGAGACAGGCTGTTGTGTTTTGAATGTGTATTGTTAAAAATATAGTGGTCAGTGTCCAGTCTGCATCATGTTATTCTGAAAAGAATGGCTTAAACTTTGATGAATCTTGACCTACCCAAAACAGAAAGTTGTCATGTGTGTGCATTTGACTGCTGATGTTCACAGTTATTTTATCTTTCTGGTATCTTTTTCATGCACCGATTTATGTAATGCTTGTGTATTTTTTTAAAACTTTTATTTTTATTTTATCTGGTCTTCATATTTCTAGAGTACACTTGTTAGAGAGATTATTTTCTTTTTCAAGTATTATTTTTGCTATTTTTCTATGTTATCTTATGTTACTTGTGTGTTGCTCTTTTCTTCAAGAGTCCTGATGATACTTTTAATAGCAGGCGGTTTGCTAGGAGTTTGTCGAATGTAAGTTTTGTTAATTTTGTCAAGAGAATGTTGATAGCTTTCAACTTGTACTGTATTATAGAATTATACTCTTAAGACAATTTTAATGGACACGGCTTGAAATCTGTTATTTATTTTATTGTTATTATTATATTTTTTATAATATTATCTAGTTGGAAGCATTTTTTCCCTGTAGGTCATGATGAAATTGAAGAACATACATAATAGTCATAACAGCTGTTTACAAACTGATTCCCTGCCCTAAAAACTAAGCTTTTGTGTTTTTGGTTTTCTACAGTCTTCAAGTAACAAGCTCTCCAAGTCCATGCCAAGTCTGGCACTGAACACAGAAGACATAGAAGAACCTGTGGTTGTGGTCATTCCATCTTTTACATTGAGAGGGTATGGTACAGACACACACCACGAGTTTGAAGTGAAGGTAAGTCACCAACTGGTCATCTTTTTCATTTAACTGTTTAAGTTACTGGGGTATAGTCACCACTACAGTCAAACCAAGACACGAAGTACCCCTAAGTACAGGATAACCCCAGCACCTAGAATATTGATATGAAGTCGGAAATTTTTATACTGACCAATGATCATGACATTGTAATGTTGAAGTATTGGGAAGTGTATATTTTAAGTTTTGAACCAACATCACTGGAGATTGCAAGTTGATTTTTAAAGCTGACACCATTTCACTTTCATTGTGTCAACAGATCCGAGTGCTGGAAGAAGAGACATGGAGTGTGTTTCGTCGCTACAGAAGATTCAGAGAGATGCATGAGCATCTGAAGAAAAAATACCCAGAGGTGAGATTGTGTTTTTTCAGTAAATGAAAATTAAAAGAAAATTAAAGAAAATTGATCTGCTTGACCAGTATAGAATTAAAGATGTATATTTGAGAATGCATTGCTCCTCTGCTGCCTAAATGAATTACTTCCTGTTCTTCTCTGTCATACGTAATAAGAAAATAACGAGCAGAAACTTGAGAGTAATAATTAGATATATGCATATATTTATATACAGGTGGCAGCTTTGCAATTCCCTCCCAAGAAGTGGTTTGGAAACAGAACAGAAAAAGTTGTAAAGGAAAGACAAAATCAGCTGCAGGTGAGTGGATAGCTGAAATATTGACACTTAGTCTGATGAAAAGTACACACTCAGCATACCTAAATATAACTCAAAACATTTGAAATTGCAGAAATAAATGAAATTTCTAATTTTTTAAAGGAGGTTGAATCATTGAACATTTAAACAAGTCATTGATCAGAACTGATAATCACTTCTATCGAAGTTGCAGTTGGGGTAAGGCCCTTGCTCTCCATGATGGGGTTTATTAAAGTGCTGGGTATTCAGTTTAAAAAAAAAACTAACAAAGAATGACAGAGGGCACTTGCAATTTATAATTTCTATGGGCAAGATGGTTTTATACGATTGAATCATTTACATGTACTAAATATGCCCAGTATTTATGCCATTTCATTTACTCTGCAGTTTAACTTTTAGAAGCGTTGTTTATGAATTCAAGTTCTATGTGTCATTGCAGGAATATGTTCAGCATGTGCTGAGGGTTTGCAGGAAGAACCCAGATTGCCCCCTGCATCCAAACAAAAGCAAATATCTTTCTAAGCAGACACTATTTGAATTTTCACCCTTTTTTAAGAAAGGAGTATTCGAGTCTTCAAAACATGGTACAGGATAGACATTTCCCATGACAGTGTCAGCACAAGAATTCCAGACTTGTTTATAAATGTTATGTTTAATATTCACTTATCATAAATTTTTTGGTCTACAGCATAAACTTCTATACCAACAGGACTATTATTTATATACATATATGTACAGTAATAAATATAATGTTTTTCTTTGCATTAAAAATGGTTTGGTGAATGTGATCAAGCTTTATATGCTGGTGATAACTGGCCAATTTTTTTGTTGTAAATAATATCCAAGCTGTTTATAAATCGATACAACAGTAATATCAAATATATGGCACAAATGTAGTTCTATAACTGAGTTTGTAAACGGTAACAGATTTGACTAGAACATTATAAGCCATGGTCCGATGTGCAATTCAATTTGATATTTTGTTTTTAACTTTTAATATGAGGTATTATATATTATGAAAGTAAAAAAAACTTTGTTAAAACAACTGAATAGTTTCAATGATATGCATTTATTAATCATTTACAGGTAACTTAATTGAACAATGTTTAAATGAAGTTTTGTATAACCTTGCATTTAAAAAGTACTACTAATACAGTAATAGGGCATGAAAACTCTAATGAATTGTGCTAGAGGTGCTACAGATATTTGCTCAACTGTTTTTCCCCCACTGAAAGTCATGAGAGAGAAAGATGGTCTCTATTGACACCTTATTAAAATTTTGGGACGACCGACATTTTGTGATGTAAACTTACTTTTAACTGGATACAATCAAATGCATTATTGTACCACCAGCGTTAGCGCTGGCANTCAAAAATATAGTGGTCAGTGTCCAGTCTGCATCATGTTATTCTGAAAAGAATGGCTTAAACTTTGATGAATCTTGACCTACCCAAAACAGAACGTTTTCATGTGTGTGCATTTGACTGCTGATGTTCACAGTTATTTAGTTATTTTATCTTTCTGGTATCTTTTTCATGCACCGATTTATGTAATGCTTGTGTATTTTTTTAAAACTTTTATTTTTATTTTATCTGGTCTTCATATTTCTAGAGTACACTTGTTAGAGAGATTATTTTCTTTTTCAAGTATTATTTTTGCTATTTTTCTATGTTATCTTATGTTACTTGTGTGTTGCTCTTTTCTTCAAGAGTCCTGATGATACTTTTAATAGCAGGCGGTTTGCTAGGAGTTTGTCAAATGTAAGTTTTGGTAATTTTGTCAAGAGAATGTTGATAGCTTTCAACTTGTACTGTATTATAGAATTATACTCTTAAGACAATTTTAATGGACACAGCTTGAAATCTGTTATTTATTTTATTGTTATTATTGTTATTATTATATTTTTTATAATATTATCTAGTTGGAATCATTTTTTCCCTGTAGGTCATGATGAAATTGAAGAACATACATAATAGTCATAACAGCTGTTTACAAACTGATTTCCTGCCCTAAAAACTAAGCTTTTGTGTTTTTGGTTTTCTACAGTCTTCAAGTAACAAGCTCTCCAAGTCCATGCCAAGTCTGGCACTGAACACAGAAGACATAGAAGAACCTGTGGTTGTGGTCATTCCATCTTTTACATTGAGAGGGTATGGTACAGACACACACCACGAGTTTGAAGTGAAGGTAAGTCACCAACTGGTCATCTTTTTCATTTAACTGTTTAAGTTACTGGGGTATAGTCACCACTACAGTCAAACCAAGACACAAAGTACCCCTATGTACCGGATAACCCCAGCACCTAGAATATTGATATGAAGTCGGAAATTTTTATACTGACCAATGATCATGACATTGTAATGTTGAAGTATTGGGAAGTGTATTTTTTAAGTTTAGAACCAACATCACTGGAGATTGCAGTTTTATTTTTAAAGCTGACACCGTTTCACTTTCATTGTGTCAACAGATCCGAGTGCTGGAAGAAGAGACATGGAGTGTGTTTCGTCGCTACAGAAGATTCAGAGAGATGCATGAGCATCTGAAGAAAAAATACCCAGAGGTGAGATTGTGTTTTTTCAGTAAATGAAAATTAAAAGAAAATTAAAGAAAATTGATCTGCTTGACCAGTATAGAATTAAAGATGTATATTTGAGAATGCATTGCTCCTCTGCTGCCTAAATGAATTACTTCCTGTTTTTCTCTGTCATAAGTAATAAGAAAATAAGGAGCAGAAACTTGAGAGTAATAATTAGATATATGCATATATTTATATACAGGTGGCAGCTTTGCAATTCCCTCCCAAGAAGTGGTTTGGAAACAGAACAGAAAAAGTTGTAAAGGAAAGACAAAATCAGCTGCAGGTGAGTGGATAGCTGAAATATTGACACTCAGTCTGATGAAAAGTACACACTCGGTGTACCTAAATATAACTCAAAACATTTGAAATTGCAGAAATAAATGAAATTTCTAATTTTTTAAAGGAGGTTGAATCATTGAACATTTAAACAAGTCATTGAACAGAACTGATAATCACTTCTATCGAAGTTGCAGTTGGGGGGAGGCCCTTGCTCTCCATGATGGGTTTTTTTAAATTGCTGGGTATTCAGTTTAAAAAAAAACTAACAAAGAATGACAGAGGGTACTTGCAATTTATAATTTCTATGGGCAAGATGGTTTTATACGATTGAATCATTTACATGTACTAAATATAATATCCAGTATTTATGCCATTTCATTACCTCTGCGGTTTAACTTTTGGAAGTGTTGTTTATGCATTCAAGTCCTCTCTATATGTCATTACAGGAATATGTTCAGAATGTGCTGAGGGTTTGCAGGAAGAACCCAGATTGCCCCCTGCATCCAAACAAAAGCAAATATCTTTCTAAGCAGACACTATTTGAATTTTCACTCTTTTTTAAGAAAGGAGTATTCGAGTCTTCAAAACATGGTACAGGATAGACATTTCACATGACAGTGTCAGCACAAGAATTCCAGACTTGTTTAAATGTTATGTTTAATATTCACTTATCATTTATTTTTTGGTCTACAGCATAAACTTCTATACCAACAGGACTATTATTTATATACATATATGTACAGTAATAAATATGTTTTTCTTTGCATTAAAAATGGTTTGGTGAATGTGATCAAGCTTTATATGCTGGTGATAACTGACCAATTTTTTTGTTATAAATAATATCCAAGCTGTTAATAAATCAATACAACAGTAATGTCAAATATATGGCACAAATGTAGTTCTATAACTAAGAGTTTGTAAGCTGTAACAGATTTGACTAGAACATTATAAGCCATGGTCTGATGTGCAATTCAATTTGACATTTTGTTTTTAACTTTTAATATGAGGTATTATATATTATGAAAGTAAAAAAAAAACTTTGTTAAAACAATTGAATAGTTTCAATAATATGCATTTATTAATCATTTACAGGTAACTTAATTGAACAATGTTTAAATGAAGTTATGTATAACCTTGCATTTAAAAAGTACTACTAATACAGTAATAGGGCATGAAAACTCTAATGAATTGTGCTAGTGGTGCTACAGACATTTGCTCAAGTGTTTTTACCCACAGAAAGTCATGAGAGAGAAAGATGGTCTCTATTGACACCTTATTTAAATTTTGGGATGACCGACATTTTGTGATGTAAACTTACTTTTAACTGGATACAAACAAATGCATTATTTATTTCCATTTTGATGTTGTGATATTTGCAGGAAAGATTATTTTAAACTTATATAATTCTTATGGACAGGCCTTAAATGAAACTTTTTGAAAAGATTTTATTGTAAGATGAATCACTTTCATGTCTAAAGCAAAACATTCATAGAAGAAGTCCACAAAATAAAAATATTAACATTCCTCCATCATGATTGAGGTAACTATGAAAGAACGTTGTATTCTTTTTTTTTTTTTTATACATTTTCCCTTTTCCAAAGATTTCAATGTAACCCAATGTTCTTGTACCCTCTTTGAAAATTCTATCACATAAACCATGTGAATTAACTTTGAAAACAAGTGTAATAAAAATTCTCTTGATATTTTACAAGGTACTAGGGAAATATGTACTTCTAGAAATTACCGAACAATAGGATAACTGCACTTGTATTTCAATAACAAATGGATAGTAAAGAGCATGAAATACAATGTGTAAAATACACAGGCAAGCACACACTTCTTGTAAGCAAAATACAAGTGGGACTATCCTTCTGTTGGAAGAGCCAGCCATGGTACAACTATCAATAACACATCAAATTATATTTACAATATTCAACAAGATGCCAGGATAGATTAATACAACTGGAAATTAAGCATATTTTCTTTCAAATTAAAAATCTGTTTTCTGCTTAACTGCCCTCTACAGGGTCACAGATTGATTTTTCACTTGATATTCAGTTACATCTTTGGCTTATTTCCAATTTTCTGTGGTGAAATCCAAGGGCAATTACTGGGTTTGTCACTNATGAAACAATGTGTAAAAAATACAGGCAAGCACACACTTCTTGTAAGCAAAATACAAGTGGGACTATCCTGTTGGAAGAGCCAGCCATGGTACAACTATCAATAACACATGAAAGTATATTTACAATATTCAACAAGATGCCAGGATAGATAATTACAAGTGGAAATAAAATATATTTTCTTTCAAATTAAAAATCTGTTTTCTGCTTAACTGCCCTCTACAGGGTCACAGATTGATTTTTCACTTGATATTCAGTTACATCTTTGGCTTATTTCCAATTTTCTGTGGTGAAATCCAAGGGCAATTACTGGGTTGGCCATGGTTTACATAACTACTGAGGCACTGGCACCTGACAAGTCCCTCTGACAGCAATCAAATTAGACAATGTGGTTACTCTACAGTGCACAGTTTTTGGGAAATACTTCCTAACCAGAGGTAATTTTTTTGCCTGACATATGAAAAGGAAACAGATTATGAAACAAAGTATTTAGTACAAGTTGCTGGCTGCATGAAGAAAAAAGGGTTTGCAAAGTGAAAATTTGTGTACAAAATTGACGTCATCACACAGTTGGCCTTTGGTAAAGAGTAACATCCCCTGTTTCCATCTCAATTTCTTCTGTAACCTCCCAATCCAAGTCATTGCTGCCCAGTTTTTCAGCTGCTGAAGTAGTGTAAATTTTATCAGATATAAAAAAAAAATGCCTTCTATTTAGGACATCCCTCACAATTAAATGGCACTTATAGAGCAAAATTTTAACTGTCTTAATTTAGACCGCATTCACATCGAGTTAAGCCATGGCTCTACAAAGCCACGAACTAAATATGGCAGACATACATGAAAGGAAAACTGCCTAATCTTTTAATAGTCTCTCTGCCTCTCACACGCCTCCCCATGTGTCGTCCCAATGGAGCCGAGATTTAATGACTGTACCCCCGCAGGGAGGACGCATGGGGAGGCGTGTGAGAGGTGGAGAGACTATTAAAAGATTAAGCGGTTTTCCTTTCATGTACGTCCGCCATATTTAGTTCGTGGCTTTGTAGAGCCATGGCTCAACTCGATGTGAATGCGGCCTTAATTCGTACACTACACCTATTCCCACGATGCACTTTAAATTATTCTTACATTAAGGGTAACATATATATATGTATATATATATATATATATATATTTTTTTTTTTTTTTTGTGCCAAAAGAAACTTACCAGCATTACTAATGGTATCATCATCCTGGTGCAAGCACTGGGCATCGGTGACTTCACCATCCACCTCTGCCATGGCTCCGTCAACACTGGAGGCTGTAAGTACGACTACTTCAGGAGTGGACATGTTGCCTTGCCCCTCCAACATCTGACTTGACTCTCNTTGAGGTAACTATGAAAGAACGTTGTATTCTTTTTTTTTTTTTTTAAATACATTTCCCTTTTCCAAAGATTTTAATGTAACCCAATGTTCTTGTACCCTCTTTGAAAATTCTATCACATAAACCATGTGAATTAACTTTGAAAACAAGTGTAATAAAAATTCTCTTGATATTTTACAAGGTATTATGGAAATATGTACTTCTAGCAATTCACTTGAAAAATTACCCAACAACAGGATAACTGCACTTGTATTTCAATAACAAATGGATAGTAAAGAGCATGAAACAATGTGTAAAAAATACAGGCAAGCACACACTTCTTGTAAGCAAAATACAAGTGGGACTATCCTGTTGGAAGAGCCAGCCATGGTACAACTATCAATAACACATGAAAGTATATTTACAATATTCAACAAGATGCCAGGATAGATAATTACAAGTGGAAATAAAATATATTTTCTTTCAAATTAAAAATCTGTTTTCTGCTTAACTGCCCTCTACAGGGTCACAGATTGATTTTTCACTTGATATTCAGTTACATCTTTGGCTTATTTCCAATTTTCTGTGGTGAAATCCAAGGGCAATTACTGGGTTGGCCATGGTTTACATAACTACTGAGGCACTGGCACCTGACAAGTCCCTCTGACAGCAATCAAATTAGACAATGTGCTTACTCTACAGTGCACAGTTTTTGGGAAATACTTCCTAACCAGAGGTAATTTTTTTGCCTGACATATGAAAAGGAAACAGATTATGAAACAAAGTATTTAGTACAAGTTGCTGGCTGCATGAAGAAAAAAGGGTTTGCAAAGTGAAAATTTGTGTACAAAATTGACGTCATCACACAGTTGGCCTTTGGTAAAGAGTAACATCCCCTGTTTCCATCTCAATTTCTTCTGTAACCTCCCAATCCAAGTCATTGCTGCCCAGTTTTTCAGCTGCTGAAGTAGTGTAAATTTTATCAGATATAAAAAAAAATGCCTTCTATTTAGGACATCCCTCACAATTAAATGGCACTTATAGAGCAAAATTTTAACTGTCTTAATTTAGACCGCATTCACATCGAGTTGAGCCATGGCTCTACAAAGCCACTAACTAAATATGGCAGACATACATGAAAGGAAAACTGCCTAATCTTTTAATAGTCTCTCTGCCTCTCACACGCCTCCCCATGTGTCGTCCCAATGGAGCCGAGATTTAATGACTGTACCCCCGCAGGGAGGACGCATGGGGAGGCGTGTGAGAGGTGGAGAGACTATTAAAAGATTAAGCGGTTTTCCTTTCATGTACGTCCGCCATATTTAGTTCGTGGCTTTGTAGAGCCATGGCTCAACTCGATGTGAATGCGGCCTTAATTCGTACACTACACCTATTCCCACGATGCACTTTAAATTATTCTTACATTAAGGGTAACATATATATATGTATATATATATATATATATATATTTTTTTTTTTTTTTTGTGCCAAAAGAAACTTACCAGCATTACTAATGGTATCATCATCCTGGTGCAAGCACTGGGCATCGGTGACTTCACCATCCACCTCTGCCATGGCTCCGTCAACACTGGAGGCTGTAAGTACGACTACTTCAGGAGTGGACATGTTGCCTTGCCCCTCCAACATCTGACTTGACTCTCTCCTATTCCAAACTGAAAAATAACTAGGACTCATGTATCATTTTTATATTTTTTAAAAAATGTATAAACAAGCATTTCTTGGCAAAGACACTATTTTTCTCATTCTGAATTCAGCTTCACAAAAAAAGATCAACAGCAATATAATTCTGATGATCAATTTCATAATCAAATTATTCTGCAATCCATAAATCGTGTTAGCAAACTCCCAAACTTACTTCTACGTTCCATAAGCCTTAATTAACTATAATAGTCAAAATACGTAGATATAGAAAATCATTCAGAGTAAAAGTGTTCTCCCTCACCTGACAAAAAGGACGAAGGATTAGAACTGTCTGCCTGTGATCCTTCATCCCTAGCAGTGACTAGAGGATCACTACCTGAATTATACGAAAAGCAAGGCAAAATATTACTATGTACATATGTATAGTAAAACAAAATATTAGTACATATGAAAAACAATTTGTTGGGTTGCAGACTGTAAAGTGACCCAATTAAGGATATTGTTACCTTTCACCAAAACTCCTTATCTACTGCCTTACATACATTCTTTTGGATAACAGATAAAACTTCAGTGTTCGGTGACTAAATTAATTTACATTTACACACATGTCATCTTATGGATGATGTCATAATTGTGATTTTGGGATAAAAATAGAAAAATCGGTTGCTCTAATTTCTTTATCTGAGCACCCATGAATACCATTTTAACGACACCATTTAGTACTCCAAAACCCTGCCAGCGATTTTTCTTTTAAGTTTTAATTCAGATTTTATCATTGATAAAGCAAAATAATGCCCTTTTAAATAAAAATCTGTAATTAAGACCTCATAGCTCCATAACAAAAATATTTAAACCAAAATGACGGTACGGGATTGTAGCCCATACATTTGAGGTCAACCATACATACAAGCAACATAGCAACTAAAATGTTTTGCTTGACAACGCAAACTGATTCTTATTAATTCAGAATGTTGGTCGCAATCGTTTTTTACATAACTTCATGCTGAAAGGCTATTCTATCTCATTTGTGATAAAACCTTGTTCAGGGATGAAGTTATTCTCCATACCGATTGCTATCTCTCCTCAAAATAGAAAGGTGTTAAAATGACAATTAAAGCTTTGACTTGCCTATGCTTATGCATTGCAATGAGAAATATAAATGCCAATATCTTATATTTTTGAGTGAATTATTATTGTTGTTTTAAAGCACACAGATAGAGGCATAACTGAATAATTATATGCAAGAAAAACCTCATTTTTGATGATAATAAAGGGTTACAATATCTTTAATGACCTAAACAAAATTACAGTAGCTAACAACCAAGTCCTTACCAACCAACAAACCTATATTATTAGATAATGATGCATTACTCACTTAAAGAAAACTTATGATAAACAAATTCAAAGGGCTCGATCAGCACCACCTTCGCAAGGGTATCATGTTTTTTTAAAACAGGAGTAACAACTTCATTCTCTTTCCATGACATGCAAATAAATAATCGTCAAACATTGGTGGATGTTACTTTTTGATCAGCATTTTAATTCTGTACATCATATAGGTTCAGATATGCGAAAATCTATAAATCTTCACTGACTGGAAATCAAATGCCTGTCATCTACTACATGTAACCTTTCTTCAGTAACAGAAAAAACAAAACAAAACAAAACACTTACCATATATTAGTCTTTTATCTATGCCTAAAGGCTTGACTCTCTTGCTCCTTTCTTTGAATACAGCCCATCTAGCTTGAATACTCTTAGGTATCCTGTGGTCATCACGTGTAAAGATGAAGTAGCAGAAGATGTACAAGACAAAGCCAAACAAGCTGCTCTGGAAAAGGATTTACAAAATGATGAAATAAATAAGAAATAAAGTTAAGTGAGGTATTTGAGTCCAACCAGATATATTTAAACTTTGACTGGGAGAGTTCATACATAAGTAAACATTAAATTATACAAAAAATAAAGAAATCCTTTCTTCATCCGAAACTATATTGATAAAATTCAAATATATGGACTACCACAGGTTGCATTTTTACCAACATTTTGGTTTTTCAATTCATTTGATGAAAAACTCTGGTTCCAGCAAATGAGATGATCACAATAAGTACTAAGCTTATGTATATTACAAAGATTAATATATGTTTACTAGTGTGTAAAAGTGTAATTACTTGGACACTCATCAGCTTTTTGTTTATCGTAATCCAAAGATCATATACTTACAATGATCAAAGCCAATGACACCCTGAAGTCAATTGGAATTCCATGTACACGCAAGACGAAGCGACTTGTGAAATCACAATATGAAGAATTGATATCAACTCCCCTAGAAAAAGTTAATATTACAATATAAGATACATAACATGAGGAGTTGGAAAAAATACCATATCAATTCTTGTTCTGAAAGCAGTTATTCTAAGAAGGGGGCTAAGGTTATGGTTAAGAAAGATATTTATATTCATAACATACCAAAATAAATGGAGCCTTTGAAACAAACTAGCACTGAGATCAAGCACAGCACATATATAAATCCATAAGAAAATCAAGGAATCAAGATCAGTCAGTGTATCCTGTTATGTTTCTGGGGTTGTTTTGATGTTAAAGAAGTACAGTCAAAACATTTTACACAAAACAAGCTAGTTTAGGTACAGGGCTCCTTACTTGTTTGAAATCTCCACAAGAAAGTAGTACTCTGGTGATTGCATGAAGGCAGGAATTATGTTGGCACAAGGAGAGAAGGTCTGGCAGAAAAAACTGAAGTGGTATTGGCAAAATGAATTTTTACTTAATTTTTACTCAAGAAGTGCATTACCAGAGTAGAAACTATAATCATCAATACACTTATTTTTGTTGCTAAATGAAATTTCCATTTATTTGGACTAAGTTTAGGAAGAGATTTTCAGCAATGAGCAAGAGGAGGAATAAAAAAGACTTAATTATAACAGAATGGTGGTAGCACTTGTTTTTAAAACAATTACTGAGATTGTATTCTAAGGTTTTGACCCTACCTCATCCCAGCAGGTATCCTACCTTATTCCATTAGTCAGATGTGTATATACAGGGTAGCCCTCCTCATCCACTATGCTATCTTCCATAGGACCCCAGATCAGGGTGGCTGTGGTGCTAATATTGTAAGTAACACTTTAAGACAAGTGCACTTGGACTCAAAATTATCTGATTTCAATATCTCTAAAAAGGTTTTGATTGTAAACAGTGCGATTCCAAGTTAGGGAGGAGTTTGGTTTTAAAATGTTCAATAGAAATATATTCATAATATAGGTATTGTATATATTAATAAAGTAAACTTGTTTATGTAGTTAGTCTGATTGTCATTGATATGTTCAACTACATGACCATTCACATGAAAAGAAATGAAGGCCACAGACACAGGTGATATATATATATATGTATGTAATAATCATAACTTGATTGACTACTCACAGAAGACATTTGGTAGAAAATCAACCAAACATACCTATAATACCTGAAAGACTGGGCAGACAACTCAATCAAATTTCAACTAATGTATTTCTTAAAAGATAAAAACAAAGAGCAATGATAAATCTTTCTTTATGAGAAAAACTTACTTCTTTGCACTGTTATATTTTGCTATTTCTTCATCAGAAAATAAATGTATTTTGTCTATGCTCTCCTCTGACCCTCCTACTACTTTCAGTGTGTATTGCCCCTTAAAAACCCAGTGTTTGCCTATCACAGGATCTACTACACGGAAATAGGGAAGGAAACCTGAAAAAAAATCAAAGTGGCACTATATACCTAGAGTAAAGCCAGACATATAACTATATTTTTTTTATTCCTGTTATCCTTTGGTTTTTAACCCCATAGAGCCTGACAGCATCTGACCTAGAAAGTGCCCTTGGTCCTGAGCCCTCTACCCAGACGCACTCAGTTTTACAGGCAGCCTCATTTAATCAATGATAATGTATTCACTTGTATAGAAAACACAAAAGAACTGTACATTTTTAGAAAGCCAAGAATATAAACTTTAAAGTCATATCAGTTTTATTCACATTTGTTAACTTAGGTAGAAATAGCAGGAGTTTAAATATGAGACTTGCTTTTCTCGAAGAGAAGTAAAAAACAAAACTTATTTTTCAGCATGCACATTCTTTTTCACTTTACCAAATAATTTGTTGAAATTTTCTCATAAACACCCGAGATATGTTTTAAACAATGTCAGAAAATTTCAGAAAGATATCTTATTTAGTTTTTGAGTTATAATAAATTTCCTGGGATGCGTGCTGTACCTAAAAACCTGCATCACGACAAGAGTTTCAACATCAACAATTAAAGAATCCATAGTTTGTAATATGCCTTTTCTTATGTTTTAAAGGTTGTAAAATATTTGTTCTTATGTTAACACTGCCCTTGTTACATTTTAATGAAGTTTGGTTACCTTGTTGGTTGATAGTTTACTGTCAAGCTTGACAGAAGAGCCAGATCTTAGTCAGTCAAAACGAGGAGTGATAAGATATCTCAAGTTCTGCTGGATGGGAATTATGAGGAAGAATCAGTTATTCTGACCTCAAGCAACCAAAGTTTGTGAATTTCTTTAAATTATTAAAATTAGATGAATGGAATATTTATGTTCTGCGCGTAAGAAGCCGGGCAGCAATCACTATCATGTACAGAGACCAACAAAGAAGTTGCCAGAGAAATATCCAACATCTGGATGTCCAAGAATACCTTTCCTCTCTTTGAGAACATTTACAACAGAATAACTGCATATTGAGGCTACATATAAAAAGCATTGTGCTTATATATGATAAATCTTATAGCATAAACACTCTTTGCTACGTTTTGAGTGAAATATTTTACTTTCGTATATCATCACTTTTAATCCTTACACTTTAAAGACATAAGTTCCCCAAATATATCATAATCCAACATACTTCTGTTGGGAATGTACTTCTCAAAGATAGGGAAAATACTTTTTTGGAGATTCAGGCATTGGAGATTTCCTTGGCAACTGCTTTGCTAGCCTCAGCTTATGACAGGGATGTCTTCCGGCTTCATACATGTAAAACTACAGTGTGTCATCCATCCTATTGTAATAATTTAGAAAAATTTTCACTTTATGGTAAGGTTAATTGATTCTTCATTATAATTCCCATCCAACAGATGTTGGGAAATCTTATCACTCCTCATTTTGATTGATCAAGATGTCTGAGGTGGTTCATTTTCCCCATTTTTGAAGATTCTGGCTCTTCACTCTAGCTTGACAGTTAACTATCAGCTTACATGGTAACTGAACTCACTGTAAAATGTATCAATCTCACTGTTAACATCTGAAATGGATTCTACAACCCCAAAAACATAAGAAAAGCCATATGACACACTATAGTACCTTTTATTGTTGTTGATGAAACTCTAGGTAAACAGTTTTGGCTGCCATTTTGAAAACTGTCATTTTACCGGCCTTAATAATTGTTTTTGAAAAAAATGATTGTCAGATTTGTGTTCAGCAACAAATTTCGCCTCAGAAAATACCTGTTATGAGTTTTTTTTTTTTCACCCAACCCTTATACATATCACTATTTGGATTAAAGAAAAATTGAAGAAAAATTCCCTTTTATTACCATTGCTGAAGTAGACACAAGGCATATCTGGATCTGGTGTGGTGCAGTCGTAGGGTTGCTCCAAACTCTCCTTCAGTTTGTCCAGTGTAGCATTGATGTCAAATGCTAAATGCACTTTGGGAGGACACCCCAACTCTACAGTGATGGCATAGAGGCCCTGAAGTTCACATATTTTAAAACTCAATTCACATCTTACACGAGCAAAAAAAAAAAAAAAAAAAAATGGCAGCTAAAATATAAAAGTGACAAAATAACAGAACAAATTTACTGCAAATTTCACTACAGTATTGTGGCATTAAATAATCTGAATTTGTTAAATGGCATAAAAATCTTTTTAAAAAAGGATGTTTTAAATCTTATGTCATTCACATTTGCAGAATTCCATCACAAGTAAAAGAGTCAAGACAGCATATCAAGATAAAATACAGAAAAGGATACACTAACAGGCCTATACCCAGCAATTTCAAATTTGGATTCTTTTTCGGATTAATAAAAGTGACCCTTTATAAGACCCATATTGAGGAATGGCAAAAAACCTAGATCAAATTCTGATTCAAAGCAGACTCTTTTCCATCCAAAAGAACAGTTCTTTCAACCCCCACTCCCCACCACCACCTTTGCAAACAGTGCCCAGTAAAGTTTAAATCAATAAAATACAATTTATCACTGTGCTGTGGAACAATTCACCTCTCCTTTCTGAGTCCCATCCCAGTCCTGTTTAAAGCACTGAAAGTCGGACTGCCACAGCCTGAACAAGACTGTAGTGGGGACCAAGGAGTGGCCTGGGGGGNCTTCTATTCCAAACTGAAAAATAACTAGGACTCATGTATCATTTTTATATTTTTTAAAAAATGTATAAACAAGCATTTCTTGGCAAAGACACTATTTTTCTCATTCTGAATTCAGCTTCACAAAAAAAGATCAACAGCAATATAATTCTGATGATCAATTTCATAATCAAATTATTCTGCAATCCATAAATCATGTTAGCAAACTCCCAAACTTACTTCTACGTTCCATAAGCCTTAATTAACTATAATAGTCAAAATACGTAGATATAGAAAATCATTCAGAGTAAAAGTGTTCTCCCTCACCTGACAAAAAGGACGAAGGATTAGAACTGTCTGCCTGTGATCCTTCATCCCTAGCAGTGACTAGAGGATCACTACCTGAATTATACGAAAAGCAAGGCAAAATATTACTATGTATAGTAAAACAAAATATTAGTACATATGAAAACGATTTTGTTGGGTTGCAGACTGTAAAGTGACCCAATTAAGGATATTGTTACCTTTCACCAAAACTCCTTATCTACTGCTTTACATACATTCTTTTGGATAACAGATAAAACTTCAGTGTTCGGTGACTAAATTAATTAACATTTACACACGTGTCATCTTATGGATGACGTCATAATTGTGATTTTGGGATAAAAATAGAAAAATTGGTTGCTCTAATTTCTTTATCTGAGCACCCATGAATACCATTTTAACGACACCATTTGGTACTCCAAAACCCTGCCAGCGATTTTTCTTTTAAGTTTTAGTTCAGATTTTATCATTGATAAAGCAAAATAATGTTTTTTGAAATGAAAATCTGTAATTAAGACCTCATAGCTCCATAACAAAAATATTAAACCAAAATGATGGTACGGGATTGTAGCCCATACATTTGAGGTCAGCTCTGCCAATTTTCGTGATAAAACCTTGTTCAGGGATGAAGTTATGCCCCATACCGATAGCTATCTCACCACAAAATAGAAAGGTGTTAAAATGACAATTAAAGCTTTGACTTGCCTATGCTTATGCATTGTAATGAGAAATATAAATGCCAATATCTTATATTTTTGAGTGAATTATTGTTTTAAAGCACAAAGAGGCATAATTGAGTAATTATATGCAGGAAAAAACCTCATTTTTGATGATAATAATGGGTTAGAATATCTTTAATGACCTAAACAAAATTACAGTAGCTAACAACTAAGTCCTTACCAACCAACAAACCTATATTATTAGATAATGATGCATTACTCACTTAAAGAAAACTTATGATAAACAAATTCAAAGGGCTCAGCACCACCTTCGCAAGGGTATCATGTTTTTTAAAACAGGAATAACAACTTCATTCTCTTTCCATGACATGCAAATAAATAATCGTCAAACATTGGTGGATGTTACTTTTTGATCAGCATTTTAATTCTGTACAACATCATATAGGTTCAGATATGCGAAAGTCTATAAATCTTCACTGACTGGAAATCAAATGCCTGTCATCTACTACGTAACCTTTCTTCAGTAACAGAAAAAAAAAAAAAAAAAAAAAAACACTTACCATATATTAGTCTTTTATCTATGCCTAAAGGCTTGACTCTCTTGCTCCTTTCTTTGAATACAGCCCATCTAGCTTGAATACTCTTAGGTATCCTGTGGTCATCACGTGTAAAGATGAAGTAGCAGAAGATGTACAAGACAAAGCCAAACAAGCTGCTCTGGAAAAGGATATACAAAATGATGAAATAAATAAGAAATAAAGTTAAGTGAGGTATTTGAGTCCAACCAGATATATTTAAACTTTGACTGGGAGAGTTCATACATAAGTAAACATTAAATTATACAAAAAATAAAGAAATCCTTTCTTCATCCGAAACTATATTGATAAAATTCAAATATATGGACTACCACAGGTTGCATTTTTACCAAATTACTTGGACACTCATCAGCTTTTTGTTTATCGTAATCCAAAGATCATACACTTACAATGATCAAAGCCAACGACACCCTGAAGTCAATTGGAATTCCATGTACACGCAAGACGAAGCGACTTGTGAAATCACAATATGAAGAATTGATATCAACTCCCCTAGAAAAAGTTAATATTACAATATAAGATACATAACATGAGGAGTTGGAAAAAATACCATATCAATTCTTGTTCTGAAAGCAGTTATTCTAAGAAGGGGGCTAAGGTTATGGTTAAGAAAGATATTTATATTCATAACATACCAAAATAAATGGAGCCTTTGAAACAAAATAGCACTGAGATCAAGCACAGCACATATATAAATCCATAAGAAAATCAAGGAATCAAGATCAGTCAGTGTATCCTGTTATGTTTCTGGGGTTGTTTTGATGTTAAAGAAGTACAGTCAAAACATTTTACACAAAACAAGCTAGTTTAGACACAGGGCTCCTTACTTGTTTGAAATCTCCACAAGAAAGTAGTACTCTGGTGATTGCATGAAGGCAGGAATTATGTTGGCACAAGGAGAGAAGGTCTGGCAGAAAAAACTGAAGTGGTATTGGCAAAATGAATTTTTACTTAATTATTACTCAAGAAGTGCATTACCAGAGTAGAAGCTATAATCATCAATACACTTATTTTTGTTGCTAAATGAAATTTCCATTTATTTGGACTAAGTTTAGGAAGAGATTTACAGCAGTGAGCAAGAGGAGGAATAAAGAAGACTCATAACAGAATGGTGGTAGCACTTGTTTTTAAAACAATTACTGAGATTGTATTCTAAGGTTTTGACCCTCCCTCATCCCAGCTGGTATCCTACCTTATTCCATTAGTCAGATGTGTATATACAGGGTAGCCCTCCTCATCCACTATGCTATCTTCCATAGGACCCCAGATCAGGGTGGCTGTGGTGCTAATATTGTAAGTAACACTTTAAGACAAGTGCACTTGGACTCAAAATTATCTGATTTCAATATCTCTAAAAAGGTTTTGATTGCAAACAGTGCGATTCCAAGTTAGGGAGGAGTTTGGTTTTAAAATGTTCAATAGAAATATATTCATAATATAGGTATTGTATATATTAATAAACTTGTTTATGTAGTTAGTCTGATGGTCATTGATATGTTCAACTACATGACCATTCACATGAAAAGTAATGAAGGCCACAGACACAGGTGATATATATATATGTACGTGATAGATACAATACGAGTCGCCGAGCTGTACGTGAAATATTACGAGTGTATTGGCGAGCCGCAGGCGAGACAATACACGAGTAATTTTCACGTACAGCTCGGCGACGAGTGTTGTATCTGGCTTAAACCACGGCCTCTGATTGGCTACTACACTAGTAGTGCAACAGACCGTGGAACGCACTTGTACATGACGTGCTTGTATGTCGCATACAGCACGGCCGAGTCTTTTGTTCTACCCGCTAGCCGTGGTTTAAGTAATAATCATAACTTGATTGACTACTCACAGAAGACATTTGGTAGAAAATCAACCAAACATACCTATAATACCTGAAAGACTGGGCAGACAACTCAATCAAATTTCAACTAATGTATTTCTTAAAAGATAAAAACAAAGAGCAATGATAAATCTTTCTTTATGAGAAAAACTTACTTCTTTGCACTGTTATATTTTGCTATTTCTTCATCAGAAAATAATTGTATTTTGTCTATGCTCTCCTCTGACCCTCCTACTACTTTCAGTGTGTATTGCCCTTTAAAAACCCAGTGTTTGCCTATCACAGGATCTACTACACGGAAATAGGGAAGGAAACCTGAAAAAAAAATCAAAGTGGCACTATATACCTAGAGTAAAGCCAGACATATAACTATATTTTTTTTTATTCCTGTTATCCTTTGGTTTTTAAAGAAGGAAGCAGGTGATGTCTAGAAAATATATATTTTAAAGGACCAGTTTTAAGAACAAAAAAAAAAACAGTGTAACACATAACAATACCTTAATCTATTCAAGAAATTGCCAAAAAAAATCCAAATTATTATAACCGTATTTTATGTAACTATGCCCCATTTTGAAGAATCTGATGTATAGTGATTATATTGCAAAGCCAGCAAGTATCAGATTATAACCCAACCTTTACACTGTACAATACAACTGAGATGGGTGGTAATAGATAACTTTTTTTGGAAATCTCTCAAGGAACAGGTGAAATGGGCCAAAAAGTTCATTTCTGATGAGAAATTTGAGCTAGAAGCATTCTTTAGGTCAGTTATTTAACTATTTTTGGAAACGCATACAAAGCATATGTACTACATATACAATAACTGTAGTAATTATATGTATGTATATAATTGTATTGAAAAGTGTTGAGTGTAGCCCAAATTTTTGATAAGTGAGTGTTTTCTATGGCAGAAAATGATGATAAACACACATGTGCAACCATTTTTTTTTTCTCACAACAGCCATTTAGGTTGGCAAAATGACAATTTTCAAAATGGCGGACAAAATGCCCTAACAAGAGTTTCAACATCAACAATTAAAGGATCCATAGTTTGTAATATGCCTTTTCTTATGTTTTGAAGGTTGTAAAATATTTGTTCTTATGTTAACACTGCCCTTGTTACACTTTAAATGGAGTTTGGTTACCTTGTTGGTTGATAGTTTATACTGTCAAGCTTGACAGAAGAGCCAGATCTTAGTCAGTCAAAATGAGGAGTGATAAGATATCTCAAGTTCTGCTGGATGTGAATTATGAGGAAGAATCAGTTATTCTGACCTCAAGCAACCAAAGTTTGTGAATTTCTTTAAATTATTAAAATAAGATGAATGGAATATTTATGTTCTGCGCGTAAGAAGCCGGGCAGCAATCACTATCATGTACAGAGACCAACAAAGAAGTTGCCAGAGAAATATCCAACATCTGGATGTCCAAGAATACCTTTCCTCTCTTTGAGAACATTTACAACAGAATAACTACATATTGAGGCTACATATAAAAAGCATTGTGCTTACATATGATGAATCTTATAGCATAAACACTCTTTGTTATGTTTTGAGTGAAATCTTTTACTTTCGTATATCATCACTTTTAATCCTTACACTTTAAAGACATAAGTTCCCCAAATATATCATAATCCAACATACTTCTGTTGGGAATGTACTTCTCAAAGATAGGGAAAATACTTTTTGGAGATTCAGGCATTGGAGATTTCCTTGGCAACTGCTTTGCTAGCCTCAGCTTATGAAAGGGATGTCTTCCGGCTTCATACATGTAAAACCTATTGTAATAATTTAGAATTTTCACTTTATGGTAAGGTTGATTAATTCTTCATTATAATTCCCATCCAACAGATGTTGGGAAATCTTATCACTCCTCATTTTGATTGATCAAGATGTCTGAGGTGGTTCATTTTCCCCATTATCGAAGATTCTGGCTCTTCACTCTAGCTTGACAGTTAACTATCAGCTTACATGGTAACTGAACTCACTGTAAAATGTATCAATCTCACTATTAACATCAGATTCTACAACCCCAAACACATAAGAAAAACCATATGACACACTATAGTACCTTTTAATTTTGTTTATGAAACTCTAGGTAAACCGTTTTGGCTGCCATTTTGAAAACTGTCATTTTACTGGCCTAAATAATTGTTTTTGAAAAAAATGATTGTCAGATTTGTGTTCAGCATCAAATTTCGCCTCAGAAAATACCTGTTATGGAATTTTTTTTTAGATTTACCCTACCCTAATACATATCATTATTTGGATTAAAGAAAAATTCAAGAAAATTCCCTTTTATTACCATTGCTAAAGTAGACACAAGGCATATCTGGATCTGGTGTGGTGCAGTCGTAGGGTTGCTCCAAGCTCTCCTTCAGTTTGTCCAGTGTAGCATTGATGTCAAATGCTAAATACACTTTGGGAGGACACCCCAACTCTACAGTGATGGCATAGAGGCCCTGAAGTTCACATATCTTAAAACTCAATTCACTTCTTACACGAGTAAAAAAAGCTAAAATATAAAAATGACAAATTAACAACAGAACAAATTTACTGCAAATTTCACTACAGTATAGTGGCATGAAATAATCTGAATTTGTTAAATGGCATAAAAATGTTTTTAAAAAAGGATGTTTTAAATCTTATGTCATTCACATTTGCAGAATTCCATCACAAGTAAAAGAGTCAAGACAGCATATCAAGATAAAATACAGAAAAGGATACACTAACAGGCCTATACCCAGCAATTTCGAATTTGGATTCTTTTTCGGATTAATAAAAGTGACCCTTCATAAGACCCATATTGAGGAATGGCAAAAAACCTAGATCAAATTCTGATTCAAAGCAGACTCTTTTCCGTCCAAAAGAACAGTTCTTTCAACCCCCACTCCCCACCACCACCTTTGCAAACAGTGCCCAGTAAAGTTTAAATCAATAAAATACAATTTATCACTGTGCTGTGGAACAATTCACCTCTCCTTTCTTAGTCCCATCCCAGTCCTGTTTAAAGCACTGAAAGTCGGACTGCCACAGCCTGAACAAGACTGTAGTGGGGACCAAGGAGTGGCCTGGGGGGTGCTGCTCCTGAATGCTGCCCAGGTCTGTGACAGAGATCTGAGAAATACAACATGAATACAGTGAATATAAGTATACTTTTACAAAGAAAAACTCTTTAGTTATAACTTTTTCTTTAAAGTAGAAATATTTTGATATCTTTAAAGAATGTAAAACAATTTACAATTAAAAACATGTGAAATCCTTCTCAAATGTATAAAACAACAACATTCAAACCATTCCCATTTTTTTCAGTGAGTTCAGCTGAAAATACATTCATTTAAAACAAAACAAAAAAAATGTAGAACCCAAACTTCGGTGACTTTGACAGACTTCTGATTTTAAAATTCTTCCATTTATTTATTTATTTTAATTCACATAAAAATGCTCCAATGAACCATTACCCTGTACTGCACTGTATCATTGAAATGGAAGAACTGTCTCTGAGCATCCACCTGGATCAAGCTACTGTTGGTCACCTCAACAGACAGGTGAAGCTGGTTTATCTCAAAGTTACTGTGCACAATACCTTATAAAATAAAGAATTCCATATCAAATATAAACAAGGCAGCAAAGCTGTCAAATATACAGACAAAAAACAGAAAAAATGATACATAAAATAGGCTACTGTTAGTTTTGATACAATCATACATTATGACAGCAAAATCAATACCATATTTTCAGGCCCGTAGCCAGGGGGGGTTCGGGGGGTTCGAAAGAACCGCCCCTTTTGCTGGGAAAAGGTCCACTCTGGGTAAAATTGGATCTAGGTACATGAAGTTTTTATGGAAAAGGTCCACTTTTTCAGAAAAAGAACCCCCTTCTGAAATTGCTGGCTATACAGGCCTGATATTTTCTACATGCACAAGAGATAAAATGGATGTAAGTAAAATGTGTAGCTAGTATAAGGCTTCAGGCCCATAAGAGTTCAAGTTCACACTTTGAAAATGACAGAATGAGAAAAATGAAAATTTCACAAAAAATGCATAAATTCCAGAAACAATCATGATAATCCATTCAAGTTGGTTTTCCAATCTGAGCTTCATTTAAACCCTAAGAATTATGCTTATAAGTTCTAAAATAATAAGTAAAACCGCAGGTGATGGCTATATGTACATACACATCTGTGTCTGTACATAAAAATTAATAATAACAAAATGAAAATCCAAAAAAATATTAATCACTGGTAGTGCTGACTGCAAGGGACAAAATTTATTATATATAGGGCTTCCCAATCATCTAAATGTCAACTTTGTTAAGAGGACTGAAATCATCAGATGAGGTAACCCTGACATATTATATAAAAAATATTGGTAAATGCTTGAAAATTAGAAAAAAATTCTTTGTGAATCAGGTTATGTAAGTGACTGCATAAAACAGTACAAACTTAAAACTAAACTGGAAGGTTACATTTAATCTGCATCTTACCATTGATCTCATCCATATTCAAGGCCAAATCAATCTTAAATGAAAAAGTCTGGTAGCGCTCTAAGTAAATCAATGATGGGAGCATATCATGGGGGATATTTTCATCATACATCTTGCCTTGTCGGTCTAGTCGGAAATGTATACCATGCCTCAAGTAATGGTTAACATACAGGTATTGGTCAAAGTCCTGTAAAAATACAAATTACTGTGCTGTATGAACTGCCATATACTAAAATACTTGTCAAAATAATATCAAGTCCATATGAGTTCAATACAGGGGTGGATCCAGAGATATTTTCTGAGTCTTCTAAATTATCTTTGTTGATCCATCCTCCATTTTTGACCGTCTTCCAACAGAAAAAATCCTACTGTCTTCCAGAAGACCCAGAAGACAGCCCCTGCAATACATCATATCTTAAACACTTGGACAGAATTCATGTAAACATACTGAACATGAATAAAAGGCAGCTCAAGGAATTTTTACAGGACGCAAAGACCTATGAGAAACCTTAGGAGGAACTAACTATGACAAGATTCTATATGCAATTTTTCCCAATGTGCTGTTTAAATTCTATACATTTAATCTGTATTATCCTTTGAATATTGTGGAAAACGGAGCACTCTAATAAACATACCTCTCCCATTGCAAATTCTCCTGAACTTTTCCACTCAGCAATCTCATCTCGATACTTGAGCAAGTACCCGGATCTTTGCTTCTTTTTCAACAACTTGTTAACCAGAGCTTGATATGACAGCCTGGATGGCTGGGAGTGAATATCCAGGGTACTGTCCACCATTGGTGGAGTCCAAGAAAATTTCTGATAAAACAAAAAAGAGAGAAAAAATGAGAAATGTTCAATATTAATGGCTGCAATATCTAATATATGACTCATTATGAAAAACAGGTAAAAGATGTATCAAATATTTTGTGGTATTGGAGAGAAGTTATATGTTTTTGTCGGCATTTTTGGCATCACCATTTTTTTAAATTCAAGTTGGGAATCAAAATAATATTTGAAAAACACATAAATTTCAGCATCTCTTCTGCTTATTACCAACCTTATCTGGTCTCTTGTCAAATATCATTTTGAAACAATCATCTCTTACCTCGGTTCTTGTGTACTTCTGAAATCCTGGGATCTCAAAAGTGATGGATGATACAGGACAGGCGTGTTTATGAATGACCACATCTTCACTATGGCCAGGCGCATCTAGATCTCTGGAAAAACCAAACATTACATAATAATAATAATATATATATATATTACTACGCATGCATGATCTTTATAAGAAATTTCCTCAAATACAAGAGATTATCACATACAGTGCACACTTACATCAGAGCATCCTTAACAGCATTCTCATAGGCCATAAGTGACAGCACATCATCAACTGGGATAACTTTTCTCAAAATTCCATCCTGTTGATCTTCCACAGCAATCAACTGCAAGTTTGTAGACTCACATTATATGTAATACTATTTCTGTTTCTTAAAATGGGGAATGAAAACTTGTATCATAAAATCAAATAACTTTTAAGACAAAATTTGCTTAAGACACACACAATCAAGCTAAACATTCCAAAGAGTAAAATTTGTAGTTTATAGATTTGGAACATCATACACTTGTCCCTCTGTTTCTTAAGATTACTAAGCAATGCCACATTCACTATCTTACCATACCTGCACCAATTCTCCAAAATACGAGTAGAACAGTGAAAACGTGACTCCTTGCTGCTGGGAGGTTTGCTGCAGGGACTTCACTACCTCCCATTGCTGACTTGGATACAGTTTAGTAACTGTCTTAGTCCCAGTCGTGCCATACCATATCTAGAAACAAGAAGTTACAGGTACCTCTACTCTTGCCATTCCATTTCCCCTCACATGATGTCAAATTATGAAATTTAAGTTTTTTTTTTTTTTATAATTCTTTCACGAAGCTTAATTACAAACTTTTTTATGAATATGAACACTGTTTATATTTGCCAGATCATTAAAGAAATGAAACTTGGATATCTAAATGTTTAAAAATCCCAAACAGTGAGATGGAAACAACAGACAGAAATGAATACTGAAAATTCTCAAAAACTGTAAAAATAGGAGTGGACAGCATTGTAAAAATTTAACCCCAAGAGATTAAGAGAAAAGGTACCCACCTCTCCAGAGTCTGTTAAGAAAGCAAATCTTCCATCATCAGCAACAGTCAGCAAAGTGATATTACTGGTGATGGGGAAACCTTTCAGCATCTGCAGGCTATGGCCACCATCAACACTACAGTAAGAGAAACATGTTGCCAAAAATGTGTTTTATTATGGTAACTTAGTATATAAGCCACACAAAGTTACTATTCTTATACTAACTTAAAACAGTATTTTAGTGACTTTTTGTAACTAGTAATATTCAAGTAAACAGCTAAGGTACACAGGTACACTGTGACTGCAATAGATGATACAGACAACAAGTTGAGAGAAACTTAAATTAATCCATCTGATGTAAAAAATATATACCCTTTAGGATGAAAACCAGTCCAGTAAGATTTGTGACAACTGAGAAATATATGCATAACACTAAGTAATCTGAGAAGATTAATCTAGAAAAGTAGCCTCTTTCCTCATAAAGTAAGGGTAATATCACAGGTTTTACCTGTGTATAATGACATTTCCCCACATAAAAAGATGGCGGCTGACATGGCCAGCAGAAGTCAATCCAGTGAGACGGATTTCAAAATCCTCTCCAGAACTGATAACAGGGAAGCGGCAAGTGGTTGAATAATCTTGAGCACGAGACAAATCATTGGGGAATTCTATTAAACTCTGCCATTCATACTGAAGGGCACTGGCAGCTAAAAGAATTGAAAAAATTCTGACTTAAAGTAGATATATATATATATATATATATATATATATATATATATATATATATATATATATATATATATATATATATATATATAGTAATTTATGTTACTTATCTTTTCCTGTCACCATAATCTTTAACTCATCCCTATGCCCATCCATAAAATAAAAGTATATGTTACTTAAACTAAGAATAAAATGCATTCAGAATTTCGAAAATCTCAAATTACAACATTTTTCCTAACTACACCTACCAGATAGAGATACCAGGGCATAGAAGCCAAGTTGGTTGGGTGATTTTGTCAAGTACAACAGTACAGAGATGGTGTTGTCCAGGTCTGCAGCCAGTGTGGCATCTATCACAGTGCAGTTGTCATAGTCTGCTGTTGGATACATATCACAAGGGTGCTTACCATGCATGTCAACCAGTTCAGAAAACTCCAACTCATCTGGAATAAAACTTACGGTATAAAGGTAATGGTAGTCTTTATGTCAAGAACTTTTGAATCAACTACAAAGTTTAAGCTTTTTTCAAAAATTAAACTCAATTTAAGTCTGGCTCCAAGTCCAACACATGCAGTAAGTTGATCTAATTTCTTGAAGTTACCGNCATAGAAGCCAAGTTGGTTGGGTGATTTTGTCAAGTACAACAGTACAGAGATGGTGTTGTCCAGGTCTGCAGCCAGTGTGGCATCTATCACAGTGCAGTTGTCATAGTCTGCTGTTGGATACATATCACAAGGGTGCTTACCATGCATGTCAACCAGTTCAGAAAACTCCAACTCATCTGGAATAAAACTTACGGTATAAAGGTAATGGTAGTCTTTATGTCAAGAACTTTTGAATCAACTACAAAGTTTAAGCTTTTTTCAAAAATTAAACTCAATTTAAGTCTGGCTCCAAGTCCAACACATGCAGTAAGTTGATCTAATTTCTTGAAGTTACCGGATTTTTTCTTTAATGGTGCTATGAATATCTTTCCCTCTTCTTGGCCAGTACCAAGGAGTAAGACATGTATGCTGTAGGCCCTGGTTTGACTGGGCAGTATCACCTTCTTCAGTGGCTTATTTAGTGTGGTAACCACACTGAGGTTAGGAGATCCATTCACTGGCATTTGGTATAGGGCAGTCTTAAATAGAAAATGATATATAAGGTGACAATACAGGCTTATGATCCCCTCTCCCAGGATAAGAACATGATAACAAAGGCCTCAGAGAACAGGGCCATGTGACACATTGGCAAAGTCATCCAACAGCTCTAAAGAGACTTCCATGTTCAAAAATTTGTGGTGTTCATGGTCATACAGCTATTAGGCATACTTAAGACAAAAATATGTTACAATTTGGCAATTAGCAAAAATTTTCTAATCTAATTCTTTATACATACTGAGGTTAAAAGAAGATAACTTTCCCTCAAAGAGGTAACAGACACCATTGAACTGTCAAAGGAATCATTTAAAGCCTGAAACAAAACATTCACTGGTGAGAATTACTGATATTTTGATCAGCACAAGTACCTTAAATCACAGCATTTAAAATGTACAAGAAGGATTGATCTAGTATTCTACTCACTCTTCTATTTTATAAATCATTAAAGGCACTGGGATTACATTTAGAGTGTCAGCAAGAACAATTCATATTCTAGATTCATCCCCAATAAGGATTTACAAAAAATCTATAATAACCTTTAATGATACATAATTCCTAAACTCATCATTGCTGATGATGATGATATTCTGGTGAGTAAATCCTCCAAGGGCCATGCTAGAGGACAGGTGAGGAAGGTAGGGCAAGGGAAAAGTCCTCCCAGACGCCAATTCTTGAAACACTGTATCTAGATTGCTGGCGTTTAACTGTGCTTGCTGTGACAGAGTGTCAAGATACAGCAACGTTCTGCAATTTGAATTTTTACAAGGAAATGATATCTGTAATGAAATTTTTGATTTATTGCATTTCCACAAAGGATGGATATCACCACTTTAAAGAGAAAAGAAAAATTAAAGACACAACTGCTATTACATGGTGGATGTCATACAACTTCATAGAAATAAATGAATAAATTCCGTCAACAATCCTAAAGGAAATTATACCTTGCTCTGAATATTTTTAGAAAGTTTTTAAAACACATATGAAAATTAGAAAGTCACAGAAAAGTCAAACCTTCAACACCACATAAAAAAGGTAACAATATATAAAAACACTTACACATAACATAAAATGAAAAGAATACCCAGAACAGATTAAAGTTTCTTAAGAGGCACAATAAAGCATACCAAACATTAAACAAGAAACTTCAATATAAACAACTTGAGCACTGTGAGTTATCTACCTAAGAGGAGTTACATATTGTTCCATTCCAGGTTGGTTAACAGAGACAGGGATATGGTGTTCCAACCCCGTGGTGGCCAGAGGCACCAGCCAAGCAGGTTCACACAATAAGCAATCACAAGTAGAGGAAGCTACAGGCAGACAGGAGAAGGAATAGAGAAAGGCAAATGATAAGCAGAGACTGTCTAAAACTGACATGAAAAGGGGATTTGAGGACAAAAGACTGAATTCTTCTACAATCCGTATTTAGACATATCAAAACAAGTGGCAGCCTATAAAATAGTTTAATGTTTTTAAGTCTATGTCCTAAACACAGATGGTAGATAAAAAGTATGAAACTGTCCTATAAGAAATTGTACTGTATAAAACAAAAGTCAAATTACAGGCAAGCTCTTTTTTAAACTTTAGATTACTGTGCATACAAAGCAACCTGAAGTCACACCAAGAACTGACCTAGGNATTTGAGAGAAACTTAAATTAATCCATCTGATGTAAAAAATATATACCCTTTAGAATGAAAACCAGTCCAGTAAGATTTGTGACAACTGAGAAATATATGCATAACACTATGTAATCTGAGAAGATTAATCTAGAAAAGTAGCCTCTTTCCTCATAAAGTAAGGGTAATATCACAGGTTTTACCTGTGTATAATGACATTTCCCCACATAAAAAGATGACGGCTGACATGGCCAGCAGAAGTCAATCCAGTGAGACGGATTTCAAAATCCTCTCCAGAACTGATAACAGGGAAGCGGCAAGTGGTTGAATAATCTTGAGCACGAGACAAATCATTGGGGAATTCTATTAAACTCTGCCATTCATACTGAAGGGCACTGGCAGCTAAAAGAATTGAAAAAATTCTGACTTAAAGTTACCAGCTACTTTCACACATATATATATATATATATATATATATATATAGTAATTTATGTTACTTATCTTTTCCCGTCACCATAATCTTTAAATCATCCCTATGCCCATCCATAAAATAAAAGTATATGTTACTTAAACTAAGAATATTTAGTCTTGCATGCCAAAAAATTACAATTCACTATGTAATATCCTTTACCATGCTTTAGAAAAAAAAGATGCAGACATCTCATATTATATAAAAAATGTATCAACAAACTATTAAATATAAACATAAAATTCATGAAACTGCTCAGTATGTGCATAAATAAAATGCCACGCAAATAGCGGTCAAAAATCTTAACTCTCTAAAAAATGCATTCAGAATTTCAAAAATCTCAAATTACAACATTTTTCCTAACTACACCTACCAGATAGAGATACCAGGGCATAGAAGCCAAGTTGGTTGGGTGATTTTGTCAAGTACAACAGTACAGAGATGGTGTTGTCCAGGTCTGCAGCCAATGTGGCATCTATCACAGTGCAGTTGTCATAGTCTGCTGTTGGATACATATCACAAGGGTGCTTACCATGCATGTCAACCAGTTCAGAAAACTCCAACTCATCTGGAATAAAACTTACGGTATAAAGGTACTGGTAGTCTTTATGTCAAGAACTTTTGAATCAACTACAAAGTTTAAGCTTTTTTCAAAAATTAAACTCAATTTAAGTCTGGCTCCAAGTCCAACACATGCAGTAAGTTGATCTAATTTCTTGAAGTTACCCGATTTTTTCTTTAATGGTGCTATGAATATCTTTCCCTCTTCTTGGCCAGTACCAAGGAGTAAGACATGTATGCTGTAGGCCCTGGTTTGACTGGGCAGTATCACCTTCTTCAGTGGCTTATTTAGCATGGTAACCACACTGAGGTTAGGAGATCCATTCACTGGCATTTGGTATAGGGCAGTCTTAAATAGAAAATGATATATAAGGTGACAATACAGGCTTATGATCCCCTCTCTCAGGATAAGAACATGATAACAAAGGCCTTAGAGAACAGGCCTAGGGCCATGTGACAAATTGGCAAAGTCATCCAACAGCTCTAAAGAGACTTCCATGTTCAAAAATTTGTGGTGTTCATGGTCATACAGCTATTAGGCATACTTAAGACAAAAATATGTTACAATTTGGCAATTAGCAAAAATTTTCTAATCTAATTCTTTATACATACTGAGGTTAAAAGAAGATAACTTTCCCTCAAAGAGGTAACAGACATCATTGAACTGTCAAAGGAATCATTTAAAGCCTGAAACAAAACAAAACAAAACAAAACATTCACTGGTGAGAATTACTGATATTTTGATTAGCACAAGTACCTTAAATCACAGCATTTAAAAAGTACAAGAAGGAATGATCTAGTATTCTACTCACTCTTCTCTTTTATAAATCATTAAAGGCACTGGGATTACATTTAGAGTGTCAGCAAGAACAGTTCATATTCTAGATTCATCCCCAATAAGGATTTACAAAAATTCTATAATAACCTTTAATGATACATAATTCCTAAACTCATCATTGCTGATGATGATGATATTCTGGTGAGTAAATCCTCCAAGGGCCATGCTAGAGGACAGGTGAGGAAGGTAGGGCAAGGGAAAAGTCCTTCCAGACGCCAATTCTTGAAACACTGTATCTAGATTGCTGGCGTTTAACTGTGCTTGCTGTGACAGAGTGTCAAGATACAGCAACGTTCTGCAATTTGAATTTTTACAAGGAAATGATATCTGTAATGAAATTTTTGATTTATTGCATTTCCACAAAGGATGGATATCACCACTTTAAAGAGAAAAGAAAAATTAAAGACACAACTGCTATTACATGGTGGATGTCATACAACTTCATAGAAATAAATGAATAAATTCCGTCAACAATCCTAAAGGAAATTATACCTTGCTCTGAATATTTTTAGAAAGTTTTAAAAACACATATGAAAATTAGAAAGTCACAGAAAAGTCAAACCTTCAACACCACATAAAAAAGGTAACAATATATAAAAACACTTACACATACCGTAAAATGAAAAGAATACCCAGAACAGATTAAAGTTTCTTAAAAGGCACAATGAAGCATACCAAACATTAAACAAGAAACTTCAATATAAACAACTTGAGCACTGTGAGTTATCTACCTAAGAGGAGTTACATATTGTTCCATTCCAGGTTGGTTAACAGAGACAGGGATATGGTGTTCCAACCCCGTGGTGGCCAGAGGCACCAGCCAAGCAGGTTCACACAATAAGCAATCACAAGTAGAGGAAGCTACAGGCAGACAGGAGAAGGAATAGAGAAAGGCAAATGATAAGCAGAGACTGTCTAAAACTGACGTGAAAAGGGGATTTGAGGACAAAAGACTGAATTCTTCTACAATCCGTATTTAGACATATCAAAACAAGTGGCAGCCTATAAAATAGTTAGTGGTTTTATGTTTTTAAGTCTATGTCCTAAACACAGATGGTAGATAAAAAGTATGAAACTGTCCTATAAGAAATTGTACTGTATAAAACAAAAGTCAAATTACAGGCAAGCTCTTTTTTAAACTTTAGATTACTGTGCTTACAAAGCAACCTGAAGTCACACCAAGAACTGACCTAGCNTGATCCCCTCTCCCAGGATAAGAACATGATAACAAAGGCCTCAGAGAACAGGGCCATGTGACACATTGGCAAAGTCATCCAACAGCTCTAAAGAGACTTCCATGTTCAAAAATTTGTGGTGTTCATGGTCATACAGCTATTAGGCATACTTAAGACAAAAATATGTTACAATTTGGCAATTAGCAAAAATTTTCTAATCTAATTCTTTATACATACTGAGGTTAAAAGAAGATAACTTTCCCTCAAAGAGGTAACAGACACCATTGAACTGTCAAAGGAATCATTTAAAGCCTGAAACAAAACATTCACTGGTGAGAATTACTGATATTTTGATCAGCACAAGTACCTTAAATCACAGCATTTAAAATGTACAAGAAGGATTGATCTAGTATTCTACTCACTCTTCTATTTTATAAATCATTAAAGGCACTGGGATTACATTTAGAGTGTCAGCAAGAACAATTCATATTCTAGATTCATCCCCAATAAGGATTTACAAAAAATCTATAATAACCTTTAATGATACATAATTCCTAAACTCATCATTGCTGATGATGATGATATTCTGGTGAGTAAATCCTCCAAGGGCCATGCTAGAGGACAGGTGAGGAAGGTAGGGCAAGGGAAAAGTCCTCCCAGACGCCAATTCTTGAAACACTGTATCTAGATTGCTGGCGTTTAACTGTGCTTGCTGTGACAGAGTGTCAAGATACAGCAACGTTCTGCAATTTGAATTTTTACAAGGAAATGATATCTGTAATGAAATTTTTGATTTATTGCATTTCCACAAAGGATGGATATCACCACTTTAAAGAGAAAAGAAAAATTAAAGACACAACTGCTATTACATGGTGGATGTCATACAACTTCATAGAAATAAATGAATAAATTCCGTCAACAATCCTAAAGGAAATTATACCTTGCTCTGAATATTTTTAGAAAGTTTTTAAAACACATATGAAAATTAGAAAGTCACAGAAAAGTCAAACCTTCAACACCACATAAAAAAGGTAACAATATATAAAAACACTTACACATAACATAAAATGAAAAGAATACCCAGAACAGATTAAAGTTTCTTAAGAGGCACAATAAAGCATACCAAACATTAAACAAGAAACTTCAATATAAACAACTTGAGCACTGTGAGTTATCTACCTAAGAGGAGTTACATATTGTTCCATTCCAGGTTGGTTAACAGAGACAGGGATATGGTGTTCCAACCCCGTGGTGGCCAGAGGCACCAGCCAAGCAGGTTCACACAATAAGCAATCACAAGTAGAGGAAGCTACAGGCAGACAGGAGAAGGAATAGAGAAAGGCAAATGATAAGCAGAGACTGTCTAAAACTGACATGAAAAGGGGATTTGAGGACAAAAGACTGAATTCTTCTACAATCCGTATTTAGACATATCAAAACAAGTGGCAGCCTATAAAATAGTTTAATGTTTTTAAGTCTATGTCCTAAACACAGATGGTAGATAAAAAGTATGAAACTGTCCTATAAGAAATTGTACTGTATAAAACAAAAGTCAAATTACAGGCAAGCTCTTTTTTAAACTTTAGATTACTGTGCATACAAAGCAACCTGAAGTCACACCAAGAACTGACCTAGGAGATAAAAATTAAAAAATAATCAAAAAAGAATAAATCAACTCTCTCTGAAAAAAAGGCACCATAAAAAAAGAGACGTGATGAAAATAAGTTATATTTATTGGCAATACCACACAGAAAATGTCACATAACAAAGTATCATCGTTTGGTCAGAGACAATGATAAAGTTAAGTCAACTCCCTGGGAAACTGTTCTTGTTTTGCACATGCATACAGAGAGAAGTTAGTGCCACCACAGTCAAATATCCCACATTATAATATATAAGTATTGATATTTTTCATCTTCAAAATCCACTAAACTTTACCTGATGTGTTCTTTAGGTCTACAAGTTGTCCTTTGTAAAAATTTTGTATCAGTCCAGTATAATGTAATTGTTTATCCTTTGGTCCTAAAGATGTCATCACATTGGGGGTGAACCCTGTCATTGCCAGCTTTCTGGGCGTATCCCACATGTCCTAAATGGAAAATGTCAAATTTGTAATTAATAATTTAACTTTCAGATTAAGGCTGTGGTTCAACAAAACCTTCCCAACAGTAGGTATTATGAATTGGTTCAAAGACAATTTTTTTTGCATTGAAACTTTTTTTTTTACTTTTTTACTTTTTTTATTTCAGTCTCTCTTTTTTTTACATCCAAAATGGTCAGGAGATATTGTGCAAAAATTTAAAGAAATCAATAAAAAAAAGTGTCTCACTAAGCCTCATAATTCATAACAACAGGCCAATAGTAAATAATACCATTGGGAAGACTGGATATTAAGTGGGAAATTCCAAGAATCTGACAGCTAAATTAAAGCCTATAGTATGCCTATCAATAATCATGGAATTTTAATTTCAAATTACAGTGTCTGTTGGTTTACCAAAGCCCCAGTCAGTGAAGCGCTGAGTATAAATAGTGACCCAAGTGAAACTAGATAAATCTCCAGCCTAGAGCACATTCAGTTATACAAACCGTTTCTCCACACACAACTCTGACCCGCAAAAAATATGGGAATACAGCACTATCCTCCTAAAAATAAGAGTATATTTGCCAAACCTTAGACATCAATAAAAAAATATCAAAATATCATAAACATGTGGTGGTGTTGACCTTCAAATTTCAACACCTCTTTCATTTTAGCTAACTTTTTTATCTTTCTCTCTGCATTCCTTCTTTTCTTAAATAAATTTATAAACAACATGGCACTACAATATGTACTCTCTTTTTTGCCAAAGTCGATTAACATAGTAAGTACACAAAACTGTTTTCACCTGACCATGAGCCGTAAGATGAAATACATCAGATTCCATTGAACTATTTAAGGGTTGTTCTGGTTTTAAAACATTGACAGCCTGTACTACATGATAAGGGTTTGCGGTCTCTGTCGCTTCCACTTTCCACCAACACCTGCTCAAATGCTCCTCAGTAGTTCTTACTGGATTAAGCACTAGGGTCACTGCCAAGAGGACCATATTCCATACTGTCCAGTGCGATTTCATCATCTGAAATAACAATAACGTATATCTGGATGAATAAGTCAAATAATTCCAACTCTGGCATATGACTAATGGGTGAAAGATTGCTGGCATTTTACAATGTTATGGTTTGTGGAATCAGAATCACTTAATAAAAATGATAATATTATCAGATATAATGTATTTTTATATGATGCATTTCATTTAAAATCTCAATCTGTCTTATAATCTAAGAACTAAACATTACAGTTGATAAAGATTTTAAAATGACAAAATTGAGAGCTACATGTAAAAATGGCAAACTAATCATAAAAATTATAAACAGCTTGTTAAAAACCTCAAATTTTGAGTCTAATTTTTGATCACAATAAAGAATAATCTACAAGATAAAAAAAAAAAAATAAAAACTGCTTGATCAATCACAATTCACTGTTTAAAAAAATGTAAGTCTTTAAATTGTTTGTTAAAATTGTACAAGTTATCTATGGCTCTCATTTGAATAAGAAACTATTCCATAGTTTACGTATATAATAAATTTAAAGCCCATACACCATAAAATGTATTAGCTTTTTTCTCTGAAGCAGCATGTTCTAAGAGTAAATGCTTAAAAGTTAAAGTCCTAGTAATCCGTCCATGCTAATGTGGCCGAGTGAGTTCTGAGATATATAATGGTTCCATTTTCTGTAACTGCTTTAAAAATTATACACAGAACTTTTAATAAAATTCTATCTCTTACAAATTATAGCCACTAAACACTTGTTTCTTAGTGTACAGCTGGCACCAATTCCTCAACCAAACTGTATATTATACTTCTGCTCCAGATGAGTAGGGTGTTCTGTCGATTAACGTGTAAGGTCCACTCCACAGGGTTTTCCTACCAAAACGAATATTTCTGAGGTAAAACCCTGGAGCCGTAGCTCGAGGTTACGTCAAAGTCAAAGAACCAAGTGTGCCAGGTGCCTTTTTCTTTTTCTAAAATTCACATTGTAGTGTTCACAAATATAATTCCCAGACATGTAAATTAATTTGATTAGAGTCGATTGCTTGTGCACTCGACTCGTTTTATGGCCTTACCTGTAGTCATGTAACTTAAGTGGACGTGTGCAATTTGAATAATTAAAATTAGTATGTACCGCCAAATACTGCAGCACAGAATCCACCTATAGATAAGAAATACGTATAAAAGACGTCTAGAAATAATATTGGGGGGGCAGACTGAAGAAGACTCGAAGGTGACCGCTCGACGGAGCTATGGGAGACGGCTTAGAAGTTGGAGGCTTCACGTATAGACCATGTAGTTAGAGATCGTCAACCAATAAACCATTAAACTGGTCATTATGTGGACTTGGGTTTTCTTTGCGCTACCTTACGTAAATCTGACACGAACCGTGGAATTTTGAATTGCGTTATCCACTGAGTAAGTCTAAAACGAAATGTCCTATTTCTAGCCCACGCTTGAATTAAGCGTACAAAATTATATAAGTTTAGGACATTCATCTCATATGTATATGTAAAGGTACATAACAACATGTTGGTCTGCTTCGCTGAATAATTCAATTCCAGAGCTTAATTGCAGATTTTGGGGTATTACTGTTAACTTAAGAATAATGCCTCAATTCACTAACATTACAAGTGTATTTGAGCTCATTCAGCTTGCATCAAAGAAAATGGATCTAAACGATCTTACCCTTCATGCTTTCTCAGAAAGACCATCCGTATTACGCGGTTGCGCAGTATTCTTGACCTTGACCTTTGCACGACAGGTGTTCCGATTTGTGATGTTCCGAAGACAACATCAATGGAATATGTCCGGTGCTTTGGTTGGATTAAATTGTCGCACAATCTTCTTGCTGTATTATGTAATGTTTAGAATGCATCCAGTATAGTAAATGGTATTTCGGGTGCATAAAACAAGTGTTCAAATTTCCATAAACCATTAAATCTGATTTTAAATAAAAGGAAAGGGGAACGCGAATTCTTTTTATCTTTTTGTACTAAAATCGATTTATTCATAGGCCTAAAAAAAGACCATGATGTCGGCCTTATAACGATAACGTGTTTTTAAATTGTTCATTTATTTATATATTTTTACCGCAAAGAGGACCAACAGCAAGGAAGAGAGAGAGAGAGATGCTAACAGTACCAAACCGAAAAAGTTAATTCTTGATAATGATATTTTGTTTTTCAGAAAACGAGCATGTCCAAAGTCATTATGCAACCTACGTCTAGGCCTCCAATATAGTACAGGTAGGCTACACTGTACGTAGTTCTTTATATTCAGTATCGCCAGTTTTTGTTTGCCGTTTCTATAATAACAAGTAGCCTAATAGGCCTGATTTGCAACTCCGGTAGTAGGCCTACGATTTTCATAAAAAATCATTATAACATCACCATCGAGTTTTCATTCATTTATTTAAAATTTTTACTTTTTTAAAATTATTAAAGACAGTTAGTTTGTCCAAGTCAAAGCATCGGTAAGATTCATTACCCCGTGGGAACCAGGGAAGGTTGACAGTTTGTTAAGCAAAACGATAAAATATGAAACTTTCAAAATTTGAGTATTAAGATCCTTGTGCTTTTTGCCTTAACCTATAAGCTCACAGCTCCCCTTCCGATATTTTAGTTTTAGCATTTCACTCCCTCTCAGTCCATCATCCGCGGCAGTCTCTACTTTCTCTGAATACAGAATTTAGGATGAGATGGAGGCAAGACGCGCCTCCTATTTTATACAGGAGATATTGACGTACGCTGTAGATGCATTCGCCAGTAGACTTGTGACTTTTAAGGAGAACATTCCGATGGTAATTGTGTATAAATTTGAAGACATTCGGTGCATGGTGTCTTTTGATATTTATTGCATTTTTTTACTTCTATAGAAATCACTGTGGAAAACCTTTATGTAAGGGGATGCATTTTCCTAAATTCAAGAACACATTAAAACCAGGAAAAAGTTTTTATAGTGCCATTAACTCTTCTTGGAAGTGATTAACTGAAAAGTACGTGAATAAAGTCACTTTGAAGGTCATGATTGTATTTTACTGCGCAATAAAGTAACATTTAAAAACAAACTTGTCGGTGTACATTTGCAGTGGGACTGAACATTGTGGATGATGAATAAACGCCGTGCTCAGCAAATCGGTCTCTTTTTGCTGGTGCTGAACGTTGTCTTTATACAGACAGTAGCAGATCCGTGTACACCTGGTGATCCTGACCAATACCGGACTTTTGAAGCGTCGACATGGGTAAGAAACCGAGCGATAACAGCTGACTTAGTAACGATGAGTCTTATATGCGACAGGTAAATTTAAACTGTTCCTATCTGCATTAATATTTCAATTATTTTTGTTACTGTTATCATTATGAGCAAGCCTACTGCATGCACCCATGCTGGGCGAATAGAGGTTATAGGCCTACCATTCAATTTGGCCATTTCCCCCCCCCCCCCCCCCCCGCACGCACACACACACACATCCCAGTGAGACCCACCAGTAAAACCATAGATTCACACAGAACGTCATTAATATAATGTTAAAGGTTTAACTTTTGGTAAGTTTAAAGTGTGGTAACCTCGAAATACTAGAGAAAACAGCTTTACACCTTATGCTTGTTCTTTAAGGGATAACAACTCTGCGTATGATATCCATATTTCACAATAAATACATTGTAAACATTTCATAGAAATACATACGTCATTTAACGCAATTATTCTGGAATTTGTCTGGAATTTGTGCTTGCTATCACATCACGTGACCTCCAATGATGGCTACACTCTATAATAATCTCTTAAGAGAACATTACAAAAAAAACTTTTTAGAAAAAAAAAAACAGGACTAACTTTGAATATCAGAATGGATTCAGTAACTATTGGTAAGTAGGGCCTATGGGAAAATTGCCCTTTACCCCAGGAAAATCAATTTTTGGCTTAAATGAACAGTTGTTATCCCTTAAATGGATCTGTTAAAACCTGAAACTCCTACCTCTTTTAGGAGCAGGCATTAAAATTTGGTTGCAAAAGAGGCATCTTTTATTACTGCAGGTACCTGTCCCCTACGTCATGGTACCGATTCACTGACAAGCAGGGGGACCGGATGGCAGATGCCACGCCTAAGGCGCCTGTGCCGATGCAGTGCGGAACTGGTGCCCCCGTCTTCTTACGAGACCCTCACCCAACCTTGGAAGAAGGGGAGAAAACTGAAGCTAGAGTCTGTGCTAACTACGGCATTCCTAATGATGATTGTAGTTGGACTGGAATCGTCTACATCAAGCATTGTCCTAGTCGGTTCGATATGGACGGGTTTTACATCTATCGTGTTCAGCCTCCACCTGCTTGTCCCATGGCGTATTGTGGCGTAGGTAATATTCACTTATACTTTTTTCCAGAGCAACGAAATCCACCCTTATATCCTGAAACAGTATTACCAATTACAGTTAATTTAAGATGTTATGGAAAGACTATAATAAATATAACATACAATAAAAGTATTAAAGTAATCAAACTTGCAGCCAAATGCCATATGTAGGCCTATATTTGTTCCGTTCTTTGTTAACAAGGCACTGGAGCTGAAAAATGCCCCCCTGGGAAGTTACTGGATGGACAGCATTGTATCCGTAAGTTACTGACAAGATACATCAGGTCTACCCAACTACCAGACTCGGCACATAATGATCCTGAATTAACCGGTATATCGGACCACACTACCCGTTTTCAAGGTGTGTGTCAGATCGCATTTCGGAGTATCATGCCCCAGAACAAATTTTGTATGACGACCGCGGGCTCATTCACGCTCGGCTGTCACCTTGATTGGATAATAAACGATTGTCGTAATATGATTTAAAACCCGGATGCATAAATTTGAAAGCCACCCAGAGCAACCTTATACTGTACTCTTACTTTAGACTACTCTATTTTATTGTCTACATGGGGTATATGGGGACTTTACGACATTCGGTTTGAATGCTTTAACCACTTTTGATAAGGCGTTTTCGCATTCTTTTAGATTAATGTGGCAGTCTAAGGTTGTTCTAGGTGGTTTTCAAATTTATGCACCCGGTTTTAAAATCATATAGCGTTTTACGACAATCGTTTACTATCCAATCAAGGTGACGGCCGAGCGTGGGCTCATCCTGTCGGTGTTCTGACTAATACTCCGAAATGCGATCTGACACACACCTTGAAAACGGGTAGTGTGGTCCGATATACCGGTGAATTCTGGATCATTCGGTGCCGAGTCTGGTAGTTGGGTAGGCCTGTACATCATATCATGTTACATTTTGCGTAAAAAAATCGCATAAATTAGAATTAAATGATGTTTCTGAAAAACCCTTAAATGGTAATGAAGACCGTTTTCCTTATTGTTCCTACCCATCTAAAACATGTTCACCCTTTTACCGTAAGTTGCCTATCCAGAAGCTGCAGGTCGCCCGGAGATTACTCCCCCTCGCCTGACCGGTAACACGTTCCATTTTGGTTGTGTTGTCCGTTACAATGGCATTATGCCTGAGAGGGCGAGATTTCAGGTTCAGTTTTTGGCTGATGGACATCCGTTTGGTGGTCTCCATACGGCTTCCGATGACCATAACTGGCACGTACATATGAACCCCATGGATTTGAAGGGGAATTTAGGGAAACACGTGAGTAAAAATTACAAAATCTACCTTTTGTTTCTTCAAAAATGATTTCCAATTGATAAATAAACTACAGGTAATACTACATGACGGTTTGAAAGGGTTTTAATTTTGTTTGTTTGATTGTTCCGTTTTTACATTTTAATTAGTCATTTTGGCTGTATAGTACATGTATATTCACAGGTTATATCTTTTGTCGAGATCAAAATGTGTTCATATCCACTAATAGGCAATTTTGTTAAAAAAAAACATCATGCCATTTATTTGGGCACAACACAAACCCCCTCCAATGTTAGTGCAAGGCACGTCTTTTATTTCAATTGCTCTCTCTACAGACATATTGTACAATGTTTTTATGCAAGACATTTTTATTCCTTTGGAGTGAAGTTCTGCAAACATATTTAAATCTTGTGGGGCAATTATTTTTAACAGATAAGATGTCAGGTTCGTCCTTATTGGAGCGGCCACGCCATTACAAGCAGACCTGTCATCAGCAGAAATAACTACTTTGCTGGAATAAAGGTTTGTTTCCGTATATTGTAGATCTGCTTTTACAGTATATTGTAAACTCAGTTTTTACTGATTAAAAAAAATTATATTACTATAGTAATAAATGCTCTATATGTGTCTTATTTCATTGAATATTTATGACGAAACAATTAAAAAAATACCACCCTTAAAAACCTGAACTGCAGAAATTATAATTAAAAAGGAGACCCCACACACGCAGAAAGTCATTATGGCGTGAGAGAGATGGCAATTTTAATTTCGGTTGGAACGAACTTATTCTTAGCTCAATTATTTTACCACTAATTCGCGCCATTATTTTGCACAAAATAAAAGTTATTTTATGCAATTGCAAAATAGGCACATTCTGTCTTTCATCATGCTTGTCATCGTCTCCAGATAGCAGATATTAACGGTAATGACATCAACCAGATAGTCGTGCGGAAAGACGCACCGGAACCCACAGAAATCCAGTTATATTCAACAATTCCTGTCACCATGGAGACACACAAAATTATGTTTATACCTGGTTTGGAGAGCCAACTTTCTGTAACCCTGCGCACTGAGAGCCCCGGTGTGGCCAAGACCGTCGTAACATCTACATGCGAGACGATATTCCTTCAACGAGACTGGAATCAGACGGCACATAAATTGTTTGGAAGCAAACCCGTCAAAATACAAGCCGTGATGGACAATGCGCGGCCATCTGGTCGACCAAACATCCCCAAACTGTTGTATTTTACACCAATACCAGCGGCGCTGGGACAGAGCATTTGGGAAAATTATGTTCTTCCAGCATTCCAGGTAAATTGATTTTACATTATATTTTATACATGTATACTCAAAAGTGTTGCTTTTTTATCATAGGAAACGTACATCCGAGTTATCTAAATGTCAAAACAATTTTGGTAATGAAATGTGCACCACATGATATGTGCTACAACACACAATAAGACGCTACTCGCAGAGACCAGACTGGTGTTAGTCAAAATGACTAACCACGATAGTCAAACGCAGCTAACTTACGCCTAGCCAAACTTTGTGACTGCAGATAAGTCGACCATTCTCGGTTAAGGTTGTCTGATTAAGTTAATCTCAGTACTAGCAGTAAATGTAATCCTTCTGTCATAATTGTCGCTAGACAGCTTAGGGGAGATCCAGAAAACTTTGTGGAAAGAGGCTGATCCAGAATTTCACAAACCGGAATTTACAGTATGCAACCCTGCGGTCACCGCTACTGAAAAAAATCTCTCTGCAACATTGAATATCACACGTAGACGAGACATTATAAACTATCTGAACGTTTTTTTATGCCAAAAATGAACACTAAAATAGTAATTAGAAAAGAAGCATTGGCATCTCACCATTTAAAAAATTGCAAAATTTGGTACTGCGGGAAAGGTAAAATGCAAAAGTCAAAATGAAGATAAATCTGCATTCTGCTTCTTGGAAGGAAGAGACAGCGTTACTATATTTACAACAAGAAGTCAATTAGAGGCTCTAATTAGAGGCTTAAATACATTAATGTCTAGGTAACCACAGTAGATGTGAACACGGGAATTTGCACTAGTGTCACGGATCCCCATCTGAAAACATTTGATGGCAGGTGAGTAATCCTAAGGGAAAATTTATTACATACATGTGATAAACCATACGAGACATGTTTATCAAAATGCCTGCTCTTCCTCATAAAATCATTTAAATAGTAAATTGGATGCGAATGATGTTAGCTAACGATAATATGCTCTTGTTAAATGTTCACGAATCTTGTGGTAAGGATGTTAAGTCAAGTCTGGTAATAAATCAAATTTGATTGGGTTTTTATCATTCAATTAAATGAAAGTGAAGTTGCATGTGCCGAACTAAGTGGCGCTTTTCATGTAATTTTAAAAAAGCCTTTTTATAAAATTTATACAAGTCTTTTTATGTAATTTATTTATTTACATAAGGGTGACAAAAGCATTGCACCATTTCGTTTTAAGGTGAACAATTGGATACGTTAGGTTTTTAAATTGGTATTTTATTAAAAACTGATTATGTCAAGTTAGGGTGTATTCCCAGAGCTTTTAGATCGATCTATCCCCGCGGGGAGTCTCACTAGATTACTGTCAGATAATCCGGCTTAAATGTCCGTCCCGCCTACTACAAGCTGTAAGGGGGTAATTAACTTTCGTGTCCGCTCGCCTGACAGCAATTTAGCGTGAACCCCCAGGGAGTTAGGTCGATCTAAAGTAGATCGAGCTAATCTCTGGAAATGGGGTCTTAGTATCTTTACTACAGATTTACAAGCCAGTGGTTTGCCCTTACAAAAGCATGTTTTTATGTCAGCATTTATGTTTTGTAGGATCCTTCTGGGCATAAACTGATAACGGTTTAGTAATCTTCTGAGAGCTATGTTTGCACAAGCTGTAAAGACACTTTGGATGAGGGCGTTTCTGGTAAAGGGGCTATCCTCTCACTTCACAGTTTTCAATGGGGTTTGCGTCTGGTGATTGGGCAAGCCAGTCCACCCGGTCGTTCAGGTTTCCAGCACCAACCCCAGTTCACCAATTGCGAAGAAACTAATACACCCCCAAACCATTATGTAAGTGCACTGTCTGGCAAGGAAATGCATATTCTTTGGCAGATAAGAAGTGGACGTTGTTCTCCATACCTTCATTCGTCCACCCATGTTGTAAACACTAAATATGATCTCATCAGAAAATCCAAAATGGCCCCAGTTCTGACCTACGGTCCATGCAATGCTACTTGCAGCGCATGTCACTCATATTCATCTGTTTATCAAGGTGATAAGTGGTTTCCATCTGGGAACCCTTGTGATAGTTTTAGAAGCATGGATGCTTCTTTGGCCAGTTCTTTTGCGCAAGCACAGCAAAGCTAACTCGCTGCACGATTCAAATTCCCTAAGCTTTGACAGCAAAAAGGACGCCTGTTGTCTCTGGCACTAGTGTTCTTCAGGCTACTTTGTGGTAACTTATGGCCATTACCAGTGTCTTCCATCCTTCTGCAAACTCCGTATACAGTCTTACCAAACACACTATGTCTGGTGGCTGTCTGGGGACATCTATATCTTTCTCCCTCAGAGAATCGTTTTCTTTCCTTTCTTCATTTGTGACCTCCTGTACCTTCACCATAGTAGCAACTTGGCGCCCATTAGGGTGTTACACCTTCGATGTCACCATTTATAGAACACATGGAGGAAAATTCATCACTGGTTACGCGAGCAATAAACCGTGCATCACTTTTTCAAGAGCGGGCCCACATGTCACATAGCGCATTATTCACACGGGTGGTGCAATACTTTCGTCAGCCTTCTGTAGTTTTTTTTCTTTTTTTTAAATATAACTGCAATATAACCCTTACACAAGCTTCCAAGCTGTGTTACCCATGCTTACCGTCGTCGTCAAATGAGAATTTGAGAATAATGGGGATTTTCAAGAAAGTGCAGAAGTCTGGCCCGTTTTTTGTTAGTGACTAATGGAATGAAATTATCTTTTAAATCTCGTGTGTCTTCTTATTTTTATAGACGATTTGATATCCTGCGTGAGTTTGGAGAATTCGTCCTAACTAGATCAAAATATGGTGAATTTGAGGTAACAATTTCATTTAAAGTTTTTCGAGAAATAGCTACATTGACAAGTTGTTAAATCAATTGTAAGGTTAAGCCTTTGGTGATCGAAAAAGAAGGGTTTCGATGTTATCTTTTTGTATCAATTACCGGGTTTTTACTTTTTATTTCATTTTCGAAAAACTTATTTATTTTCTGTTCAAGGTTCGCGAACGGCACTGGTCTTGCTCGAGCTCTGGCGTAGCATGCAACTGTGGGGTGGCGGCGAGGGAAGGTCCCCACATCTTAATAGTAGACCTTTGCCATGGTAACGTGGACCAACTCCGAAAAACAAAACTACAACCGAGAGTGTATTACAGGACTACTGCTATCACTGGGACGTTGCCAAACGGGACGTACATCCATTCTGATTCCACGGGCAAAAAATATGTGGTACGTTTAGTCACAATCTAAGATATACAGTGCGTGTTCAACCATTTGACCTCCATAGATGGCTATACTCTTTTTAGAAAAAAAAACCAGGGACTAACTTTGAATGTAGAAATGGATTCTTTAAGGTAAGGATGGTGAGGATGGGAAATTGTTGTTTACCCCAGGAAAATTCATTTTTTGGCCAAAATGGACAGTTGTTATCCCTTTAAATACAGTATGATTAAATACGATTTAATAAAACATATTACCCCACACTTATATATATATATATATATATATATATATATATATATATATATATATATATATATATATGAATACTCATGTCTGTTTTAGTTGAAGTTTACATCTGGCGCCTGGGTGGAGGCCCGCGTAAACAGGTATTGGGGTCTAGATATAACAGTCAGCGTTCCCAGTGGTTACAAGAAGCACATGGCTGGGTTGTGCGGTAATTATGATGACCAGAGTGATAATGACATCGTTGGATCTCTGCCAAATTTCATTTCAAACAACAAGTAAGTTGTGGACATCAGCCTATAAAAGCTCATTACCAAAATGTGTAGATAGATTAATTTACAAAGCGTAAAATATTCAATATGTCATGATTTAATATGATATAACTACATGTAATAACTCTCATATAAGTCCTATTTTCTTTCTTTATTTTTTATTGTATTTATTTATTTATTTTTCGCATCAAGAGTTACAGTTGAAGACAGCTACTTCGGTCGAAAGCTTCCGTGCCCGTTACCTTTGGCAAGAACCCTTCAAGACTTCTGCTATTGCAATAAAACGGGGGAAGAGAGATTCGTATGCGACTACGCCAAAGTTGTACCAGATCCCACCGACCTGACGAACATGAAGCCAGTAAAACCTATCATCACTCCTCAGACATGTGGAAAACGGAAGCGACGGGACATTGAGGACCTTATGATGTCCTCTGATGACGTCATGGAATTTGACGATTACGTGTACACACCCGTGGTCCCAACTGTACGGCAGCCTGCAGTTATAAAACCCCGTGTTGTGCCTGGTGGGCCTGGTGATGGACCCGGGAGGAATGTGCAGGCTATGGGTGATTTAATGTTGAAAGCTGTTTCTGTTGACGAAGTACCGGTGGTGCTCCAACCTCAGGAGATCAGGCGCATCTGCAGTGAGGCCATCGAAACCTCTTCAATTTCGACATTGTGCAAGGATCTCCCCGGGTTTGACGTCAGCTCCACGATGGAAGAATGTATATCTGATATTCAGGTGCGGAAAAGACATTATTCATTTAATCAGTTTAATTGTATATGTCGTGCTCAAAGGGGACTATTAACTGACTCTTCCGTAAACGCAAACCCTAAAGTGTACCTTTTCTCCCTTTTGGGTAAGGGTGCCACATATAACACCCAATTTCTAATGAAAAGGGAAGGATCGCTGTATCCGCGGATGTATTTGACAAAGATACACGTATGCAAATAATTAGCCGTTTTGACGAAAGATTAATTCCCAAAAACTGCACCCAAAGTTACCGATAAATCAATACTATTTAGAAATATATAACACAGGTCAACTTTTTCATGACACTTTTTTTCAATCAAACACTCTATTTTTTCATATCCAGTTGACAAACGACATAACGTTTGCAGAAGCCGCTTCCGACAATATGGAGGACCGCTGCATCCAGTATGCATCCACGCTTTCCAGTGAGAAAGAAAATGTTCAGAAAATCTTGCGTCTTCGCTGTCCTCGCCAATGTAGCGGACAGGGTCGGTGCGACAATGGAAAGTGTCACTGTCACGCTGGATTCACTGCTGAGGACTGCTCGGTCAGGACAGATAGCATCCCCAGCGTGTTCTTCAGAATATCTGGGCGCGCTGTGCAAACGCGCTCCTGCGATGCGCTCAGACGGCCATGTTTGACGACCAGACTTCAAGCGACTGGAGCGTTCTACAGGAGTTCGAATCTCACTTGCAAGATACAACACATAGTGGTGAGTGAAGAATTGTTTATTTTGAATAATTCGTTTGCACCCGTTCCAGCGATTGGGACGTTATACAGACTGGCCAAATAATTTACAACATAAATGTAGACATGGACATAGCATGTTTGTAATTATTACTTTTTAAAAGATGAATCGACTTGGCGGCCAAAACAAATGATAGTGTTTCAGTTTTGTTCTTGTAGCATTTAAATCTAAATAACACCTAAAATAACCGTGTTTCGTGTAGAGAAAAATGCCGAAAGCTGAGAAAAATACTTGGGGGAGTTGTTGAAGGTGTACAATAAGTACTTTTGATAAAAAAAACCTGTATTTTCAGATGACATACAATGGACACGAGTTCGTGGAGAGTGATGTTACAACCAAAAACACGAAGGCGGAGTTCGTGTCATTCGGCGAAGTGATCTGCCACATTCCCAGTACAGTGCGGAGTGCTGTGCTAGCGAAACCAATTGCGGGCCAAGCAGTTCATGTTGTTGTTAGATTGCAAATATCAGTCAGTAATGATGGCGTTCGATTCTCCAATGAAGTGAATCTGTTAGTGTTTAATTCCAAACGCGTAGAGTATAACAGCCGCACACAGAGCTGGGAACCGAAAGTGTAAGAGCTTCGTACATTTGCAGTGGGGCTAAACATTGTGAAAGATGAATATACGCCGTACTTGGCAAATCGGTCTCTTTTTGCTAGGGCTGTGTGTCTTTAAACCCTCGTTGGAGGCAACCCAGGTCTCCTGCAGGAGAAAATTGCAGTATTAAAGAAAGAACACATTCTGATGCTAGTTACATGTATGTATATACGTATAAATTTGATGACACTCGGTGGTGTTTTTAACCTTTATTGCCTTTTTTTACTTCTATGGAAATTAGTGTGGAAAACCACATTTAAAGGGTTGCATGTTCTTAAATTCAAGGACACATTAAAACCAATAAGAAGTTTTTATAGTGCCATTAACTCTTCTTAGAAGTGATTAACCGAAAAGCACGCGAATAAAGTCACTTTGAAGGTCATTGTTTTATTTTACTGCGCAATAAAGTAACATTTAAAAACAAACTTGTCGGTGTGCATTTGCAGTGGAGTTGAACATTGTTGAAGATGAATAAACGCCGTGCTCGGCCAATCGGTCTCTTTTTGCTAGGGCTGTGCGTCTTTAAACAGACAGTAGCAGATCCGTGTACACCTGGTGATCCTGACCAATACCGGATTTTTGAAGCATCGACATGGGTGAGAAACCGAGCGATAACAGCTGACTTAGGAACGATGAGTCTTATATGTGACAGGTAAATTTAATAGACTATTCCTATCTGCATTTAATATTTTATTTATTTTTATTACTATTATCATTATCAGTATGCCTGCTACATGTAGCTGGGCGAATCGAGGTTAAACCATTCAATGTGTCCCTGTCCCCCCACCCCCACCCCCAACATACACTAGTCAAACCATAGATTTACAAAGAACATCATTTACATTATGTTAACAGTTAGAAGATGGGTTTACAGCCTGGTATCCTCGATACGCTGTTAAATCCTAAGGAGCAAGCATTAAATTTTGATTATAAAAGAGGCATTTTTTATTACTGCAGGTACCTGTCCCCTACGTCATGGTACCGATTCACTGACAAGCAGGGGGACCGGATGGCAGATGCCACGCCTAAGGCGCCTGTGCCGATGCAGTGCGGAACTGGTGCCCCCGTCTTCTTACGGGACCCTCACCCAACCTTGGAAGAAGGGGCGAAAACTGAGGCTAGAGTTTGTGCTAACTACGGCATTCCTAATAATGAATGTAGTTGGACTGGAACCATACACATCAAACATTGTCCCAGTCGTTTTAACATGGACGGGTTTTATATCTATCGTGTTCAGCCTCCACCTGCATGTCCCATGGCGTATTGTGGCGTAGGTAATATTCGCTCATACTTTTTTTTTATTTTCCAGAGCAACGAAATTCAACCTGATATCCTGAAACAGTTTTCCAATTACAGTTAGTTTAAGCTGTTATGGAAAGATCATAATAAATATAACATAAAGTATTAAAGTAATCAAACTTGCAGCCAAATGCCATATGTATATTTGTTCTGTTCTTTGATAACCAGGCACTGGAGCTGAAAAATGCCCCCCTGGGCAGTTACTGGATGGACAGCAGTGTATCCGTAAGATACATCATTTCATATTTTTAAGTACTGATCAAGTGCTGGAAACAAGTTTCATGTTGCGTAAAAAATAGCATAAATCAAAATTTAATGACGTTTGCGAAAAAAAATCATTTGTTGCATTTGATGGTAATGTAGATCGTTTTTCTGAATTTTCAAACTTTAAACTACATTTTCCTTCATTTTAATTTTAAAATTAAAACGCTCCGACCCATATAAAACGTGTTCATTTTTTTACCCTAAGCTGCCTACCCAGAAGCTGCAGGTCGTCCGGAGATCACTCCCCCTCGCCTGACCGGTAACACGTTCCATTTTGGTTGTGTTGTCCCTTACAATGGCATTATGCCTGAGAGGGCGAGATTTCAGGTTCAGTTTTTGGCTGATGGGCATCCGTTTGGTGGTCTCCATACGGCTTCCGATGACCATATCTGGCAAGTACATATAAACCCCATGGATTTGAAAGGGAATTTAGGGAAACACGTGAGTAAAAATTACAAAATCTACCTCCCGTTTCTTCAAAAGTGATTTCCAATTGATAAATAAACTACAGGTAATGCTACATGACGGTTTGAAAGGGTTTTAATTTTGTTTGTTTGATTGTTCCGTTTTTACATTTTAATTAGTCATTTTGGCTGTATAGTACATGTATATTCACAGGTTATATCTTTTGTCGAGATCAAAATGTGTTCATATCCACTAATAGGCAATTTTGTTAAAAAAAAACATCATGCCATTTATTTGGGCACAACACAAACCCCCTCCAATGTTAGTGCAAGGCACGTCTTTTATTTCAATTGCTCTCTTACAGACATATTGTACAATGTTTTTATGCATGTATATTCACAGGTTATATCTTTTGTCGAGATCAAAATGTTTTTATATCCAGTAATAGGCAATTTTGTTAACAAAATGTTATGCCATTTATTTGGGCACAACACAGACTCCCTCCGATGTTAGTGCAAGGCACGTCTTTTATTTCGATAGCTCATCATTTAGTCATCATCATCATTTAGAGCCTATAGTGTTCCACTGTTGGACAAAGGCCTCAGCATGCTTTTTCCTTTGTTTCCTATCCTGAGCCTCAGATTTCCAGTTTGGCCAAGGTTTCTTCTTCCAAGACTTCCAGTAGTCATCTAATTCATCCCTCCATCGTTTGACCGGCCTTCCTCTTTTTCTTTGTCCATACCTTGGGGTCCATTCTGTAAGCCTGATTGTCCACCTATTGTCCTTCATTCTTTTCACATGTCCTGCCCACCTTCATTTCATTTCTTTAACTGTGAGCAGTACGTCCTTAACTTTGGTCTGTTCACGTAACCATACATTCGTTTTCCGCTCTCTTGGACTGATGTTCAACATAATTCTTTCCATCTTTCTCTGAGCTACTTGTACCTTGTGTTCCATGGAGGCATTCAGTGCCCAGGTCTCTGAACCATAGGTGATTGCCGGCAGCACACAAGCATTGAACACTTTCTTTTTCAGGCAGGTAGGAAGGTTGCTCTTGAAGATGTCATTGTGCCTCCCATATGCTGCCCATCCTGCTTTTATCCTTCGTTGGATTTCTTTCTCCAGTGTTCGATCACTAAGGCTGAACCGTTGCCCAAGGTATATATACTCTTCTACTGCTTAGGTGTTGACCTTCACTGTGCAAG